GGGTGCTTGAGAGGGGAGCAATCGGTAATTTCTCGCCTGATAGGGTTAACTGTGGAGCTGCTGGACACTGCGAAACCTGAGTGCGTGCTTTTGGCTCGTTGCTCAATTCCTTTCGCTGAGTTTTGTGTTTGGGAACTCAGAGCACGGCCAAAGCTCTGCGCTCCTCTCCAGCAAACCTGCACTGCTCCTCCTCCCAGCAGAGCAGGTTTCAGTGGGCCGGGGCTGGGAAGAGTAAGGCTGTGCATTTTTCCTGGAAGTAACAGTGCCAAAAATAGGAATCTGTGCACGTTACTGCACTAGAAAGTTTTGTAGATCTTGGTGATGTCGATGGTTTGTTCAGTTGTTGATAACTCTGACTCGCTGTCAGGGGTCCTTGTTGTAAGTGTGTCTCAAAAAGTTGGGTTTTTACCCGCAGAACTGATATAACTGATGCTGGCAAAAGAACTGAGACCTGTGCTTCCATCAAGGAGCCAGGTGGACAGCAAACCCTTGGCAGTGCTGTTTGTCAGCATCAAACCCTCCCCTGCCCAGCCCATACCTCAGGGTGCTGAGAAACAAACCTGGCTGTGATGGCTGCGGGGAGTCTGTGGTGATCCGTGGATGTGGTGTGTAAATGCTGCGATTCACCTTCCCATAGCGTGTTGTCCAGCAGCCAAGCACCGTGATGAATGATCTGTCACTCCCAGCTGCTGGATCAGGATGGAGAGATGCAGATGTTGTCATCCCCAGGGGTCTGAGAATACCCTGTGTGTTGTCGACTCGCGTCTTACAGCACAAAAATATCGAAATTTCTTCACCAGAGTTAACCTCTCCCCAGCCACTGTCAGACAGGGCTGTGGTCCCACCACCAGGAAGGACAACGGGCTGTCGGTGGGATGCACAAAGGTGTCTTTGTGGAGCTGTGGTCCTGCTTCTGTGAGGCACAGTGCTCTTGGCAAGGCTGCAGGGAGCGATGCCTTCATCAACCTCCTCTGCTGCAGGATGCTGCTGGAGGGGCCACACGTGGACAGGAGACGTGGCAGGTCGTTCCTTCTGCTGAGAAAAGCAATTTTGTCCACTCTTACTCAGGGATGATAATTTGGCAGTTCATGCAAGAGTCATCCAAACAGGCCTGGAGTTCCCTGGGGTAGCTGATTTTGGATACCAAGTAGGTCCTAAGACGCTGTTTCAGAAGAGCCCTGTTGAGAATGGGATATGGCAGTGTCTCACACTTCAGAAATAGGAAGTTTTAATTTGTCTCTAAAAATAACTTAGTTTTAATTTGAAGTATAAACTGTAGCAGATTTTTAATTGCAAGGTGTTAATCTCTGGTATGAGAGTTTTTCTCTTTGAATGGCCTTATACGTGTTTTGTTTCATCTTCATCTCAACCGTATGTTTGTTAAATGAAAACCTGATGTTGGTTTGCTATAATTCCTTCATCTTCAAGTGCTCTGTGGGGACCCCGCATCCATCAAAGGAGGGCACAGACTTCGTTGTGGTACTTAGAGATGAAGGAATTTTTGGAGGTAGCTTTTAAGGATGTCTCCCAAGTTCTGCAGAAAAACAGTCACTGCTGTATTGAAGATTAGCAACTGAAACTTAAGAGAGTAAATTTAACATGCATATGGACAGCAAGGATCTTCCTGCACAGCTGCTGTTTTTTTATGCACAATTTTCATCGTGTTCTGCAGGCTAGCAAAGGTCCAAGAAATTATATTGGTAGATCACAAAATCATAGTTATTTCTCCTGGGCTGTGAGTCCTTCTAAAGACAACCAAACTGATAACTGGAAAAATGCTAGGAAAAAAGAAATAAAGGGAACTTTTTTTTCCACTTGTGCTTTGGAACAAATGCTCTGGTGTAGTTACTGCTGCGTTTACGCCTGTCCTGAAATGAGAGCTTACATCCGAGCTCTTGTGGAAAAGGTTGTGCTTTGAGGACTTTAATCCCAATTCATATTTGGCCACTGCAGCCAGAAGTTGAACTGGGGATGGAAGGGAGGGAGCAACAGATGGACAGATGTGGGGAATAAATCTACGGCCTGAGAATGATGGGAAAAAATAGCGAAGGAGAGCAGGTTTTTAGCCAAAATTCTTCAGTTGAAGAAACTGAGGCCAGGAGGTACATGATGTTTTGTCTCGGGTCACGCACACATTGTGGCAAAGCTGAAGAGGAGCCTGAATAAGTGGAGTTCTGGTGCAAGCATTAATCATTAGATAATTTTTCCCAAGCTAGTTACAGTAACAAGCAACTTGAAGTGTGAATAAACTGATAAACCACAGGACACTCAGTGGTATTTTTTGGTTATTTACTGAGGTCTATTAAGGAAAAACAGCTAGCATTGCTAATTAGTAATTTTGTACAAATTTTTGGATTAGCAGAACTTTTTAGGAAGAATTTCACAGCAACATCAGCTGTGCAGCTGCTGACCATAACATGCGGAATAGCGTACACCAGCTGAAATGGCTTTCAGGAAAACGTGTAGAGCAGAGCGATGGCATATGCCCAGTTTAGGTTTATGCAGATTTAAAGCTCTAGTTGATTTTTTGGGGGGGAAAAAACCCACATGTAGAGCTCCTCTTTTATAATCTGCACTCATCACAGCAACTTTTATTGCTGCCTGGGTGCTCAGTGCTGCAGAAAGGACCTGTCCTGAGCAGGCAAAGCTGGGGCTAATGGACCCTGCATCCCATTAAGCAGCTGTCAGGAGCAGGCGGCTGATGAATGGTGCTGGCTCTCGTTACCGTTGCATGCGTCGCCGTCTCTCCCTCCTGAATCACTCAGGAAAAGCTCACGCTTGCTCAAGAAATACTCATTCTTCTACAGTTGGCAGGATTTCTAAATAAGTATATTTTTTCAGTGCCTATAGTTTAGCAGGGACCTGTGAAAGTCCTGTTGTTCTGCGTGCCTGCCGTGTTCTGGTTGCTCCACAGAGACCTGAGATGCAAAAACAAATACAAAATTCATAACACAGAGTTACTGCTTATTATCGGGAGTTTTGTTCCAGCGGGTGGGATGTGTTCTGCTTTGAATACAGAAGGCTTTATCCTCCATACTTCACGGGGATTGCTGAGGGAAACTGTTCTGGTTGCTCACTGTTGTCTGTCAGCACAGCAGAGATGGAAGGGGTTTATGGGTTGACAGTCTTCCAAAAGAGTATTTTTACTGTCAAAAGCATCAGCTGGTCAAAATTGGGAAAGGTTTGCCAGGAGCACATCATCTCCTAGGTTTGAAGTGAGGTGCGTTTGCTTTTCAGAACAAATTAGAGATTTCCATTTCCAACTCTACCATTTTCAAAATTCTTCTACACACGCACACCTATGCATGCAATGGGTGGTTTTGGTGTGATGCTATTTGAAGCCTCAAATTCTGAATTCAGCATACAGCTTGATTGGCCTGGGGTGAATGCTGTCAGAATTTCAGTTCCTGAGATTTTGGGAAAAGCTTTTTCTCATGGCAATGGAAAATCGCCCTCCACCTTCTGTGTGTAGGTGCGGCATTTCTAGAAAGATTTATTGACTATGGGGATTCTGAAATCTGTTCCTTTAGAACACTTTATACTTAAAAACAACTTGAAAAGCTCACTCTTCTGAGGTTCAGTTAAGTAATAAAACCAAGCCAAGCCTCAATCTTGAGCATCATTGCATGACTGATGTTGAATACCATTGATCGTGACATACCTTGCTTTTATTTTTTATTTTTAGCAAAAATTTCATTGTGGGATGTCCAAAGCTATCTAGTTCCTTGAAATAATATATGAAGGGTTTGTGCTAATTTTGGATAAGACACGTTGGATAGTTGGAAGAATATACTTATTTTTTAAAGTTTGCACTCAACAGTAAAAGCAGAAGGAGCAATAAAAATGAATTGGATTGGTATAAATGTGCACATTATTAGTGCAACTGAAGAGATTTTTCTTTTTTTTTCTTTTTTTTTCTTTCTTTTTTTTTTCTCCAACTCTATCATCATAACATCTTACAATGGAGAAGTAAAAATGCAGCTTGGAGTGGTGATACTTTTTCCAACACATGGAGTAACACACATTTTCAATATCACTCTTGAGAGTGAGTCACAAGTTGTTACTTAAAAGCATATGATAAAGATTATGATTTTTATGAGCAGAGCAGTTCTACTTTCTTCCAGATGCGCTAAAATAATTTCTCCAGAAGACTTTTCTAGGTAATACAGTTGCAGATCCATCTTGGCAGAGATAACCTCTTACAGAAGAGCAAGGATCGGAGTTGTCTGGCAGAAAATAAATTGCTTGCTCTTTTTCCCCAGCGTGAATCTGGGGACAGACCCTCATTTTTACTGTAAAGCTCCGTGGCTCTGCTGACGTGGGAGTGGTGATTTATGCTCGCTGGAGACCCCTCTGTTAGCCTTTATAGCACCAGCCATTAATATTGTTAGATACGAAAGGGGAGAGCCCAGTCAAGCAGGAAAGGGAGTTATACTGCTTTTTCCATGTAATTAAATGAATGTATTGTACCACCATTTTCTTTCAGTAATTTCATGTGCACTTAAATGCTGTCGTAATAGTTTCCTGAAGTTGATGTTGCTATCTCATATGATGCTTTAACAGCAAGTCAGAAAAAGGAAAGCAATAAAAAACAATGTGTAGCATGCCATACATCTTCACTAGGCATGGTCTGCAACATGGCTAGGCCACCTCAGAGAGAAAGCAGGTAAAAATTAGAATTGTTTTTTATTGCAGTTTAAAGAAACATAGGGTCAAAAGTGATTATTCTTTCCAAAAAGTACCAACCCTGCTATCTGTAAAGCAATTTTAAAGATTGCTGCACCTAAAATTGTAAAATGCCATGCAGTTCCCTGTGATTGAAGTTGTGCAGATGTTCCAGTCCTGTTTTCTTCTGCATCAGAAAAAAATGATGGCATATTAATGGAAGAGCAGTTTGTTTTGCTAAATGAAGCGTCACTTTCTTTGAAACCCTTTAGCCCTATGATTTTTTTTTACTTGCACCCAATATCATTGTAACATCTCACTGTGCTTCTTTGTAGGAGGAATACAGAGCAGAAGGGATTAGCTGGCACAACATCGACTACATAGACAACTCTGGCTGCATAAACCTTATCAGCAAGAAGCCGACAGGCCTGCTCCATCTGCTGGATGAGGAAAGCAAGTAAGTGGGAACCAGGAGGGATGCTGAACCTGCCCCCAAGTAAGGGGTGATATTGCCCTGCACGGAGTCCCACACGAGCAGGGCAAAGAAATGCTGTGCCTTAGTAGAGGGGAAACATCCAAAAGTGGTGTTTCTGCTAATGGTGTTTGATCTTCACCTAGGAAGAGTTTATCCTCGAGTCGTATCTCCTCTTGTGATTTTCCTCAGAAGGATGCTCTTAGCCATCTGGGCTGATTTATCCTCTTAGGTCTCTTGTTTCCAGAGTGGTAACACAAAACAGTGAAAAATCATCAAGCCAAGTTAAGTCCCTGACAAAATCATAATTAAAATTATATTTCAATAATTTCCTCTGTTAGAGGGAAGGACAAAGACTGCCTTTGCTTTGCTTCTATCTCCCTCTCTTGGGGGGGTAACAACATGGAAATGTTTGAAGTTAAACAGAGTGAATGGAGAATCCAAGCGTATGCACTAAAGCTGTATGGATGTTGCTATTCAGCTATAAGGTGGCTTTGTCAATTTAATCCTAAATTTAAGCCTGAGAGAACCAAGGGCACTTTTACATAGGGATGGTCCTTCTGTAGGGTTTGATGCACATCAAGGATGCGTCTGAGAATCACACACTCAGGTGTTGTGAATTGCCCCGCCCCCCCCCGGATGTTGCAGGTTTACGTGATGTTTGAGGATGAAGAATTGGCTTGCTGTCACCAAGAGGCTGGGCTCACACTCTCTTTTTTCCTTCCTCTTTCCTATGCCAGGGTCAGTTGGCTAACTCCTGTAATTGAAGTTGCATTTGTAGGTAAAATGGATCAGGATTTCCTTGACACATGAATTCCCCGTAGACCTAGGACTTAGCGTTCAAAGTCTCAAAACCAATGACAGAAACATTGAACTTCACATACATGCAGCTACCTCAAAGAATTTACATGCAATGGGAGCACAGTGCAGTATCACTCAATAAATATATACCTATTTATACTTTTATAAGTGATTTCAGACCACTACTAAGTCAATTAAGAGTTCTTCAGACACCATGTATATCTTGTATTTGTATATAACCATTGACAGCATACAAAATAGCACTCAGTGTGTTTAGCATCTGCAAGCACTGAAGTGGAGGCTTGGAATATTTTTATTTAATATTTGTGGTCAAGGAAGAAGTGAAGTTCTTTCATTGTGTTTACAGCTGTCCTCTTTAATTCTTTCCAGCTTTCCTCAAGCTACCAACCAGACTCTGCTGGACAAGTTTAAGCGTCAACACGAAGGCAACTCCTACATTGAATTTCCAGCGGTGATGGAGCCAGCTTTCATCATCAAACACTATGCAGGCAAAGTCAAGTATGGAGTGAAGGTCTGTCACCCAGCTGTTCCCCAGTGGTTGCTTTCATTTAAACCATCTTGTTATGGGATGGAGAGCACCAAAGGCTCTGTAAAGATGTTATGAAGAGTACTTGGCTAGAGAAAAGAAGCAAGCTTTGGGAAAGAAGTGTTTGGTGAAAAGCTTGGCTAAAATATGCAAGGGGAAGGTGGGGTGGTGGCGAGGATTGTGTCTTCCTGTTCTCTTCCATGTTGCAAACTCTTGGTATTTTGGAGAAGAATTAAGGACATGCACTCAGGCTGATGCTACACCCCTAGCAATGCATTGAAATTTGGTATTTGGTAGCATTTTGGGGCTTGGTTCATCTAGAGAACCTAATGTCTTTTACTGTTTCATCATTAGCCTTAGAGCATAGAGGTTATGTGATGCATCTTATTTATTATTTTTGAGATTATGAGATGCATTACCTGCATCTCAGTAATGCAGGTAATTTTAAAATCCCATGCAAATGTTTTCAAAGTTGACCCCATTTACCTGCATGCCAACTGAGTTATTAGCAGAAGGATTTTTGGTGGGAAGATGAACTTGTATAAGAAACTGCATTAGTATTTACAACTGCAAATCTGTAATCATGCTTCCGGTGCAATAATTACACATGAGAAACTTAAGCATCATCTCTGAGATGCTTCAGGTTGTTCCAAGTGCCTTGGAATAAAACATTTATTCTCTGGAGATAAAGAAGTGTCTGATATGGAGGCAGAAAAAAAGATAAAAGCATGACTCAGTAGTTCTGTTCCTTAGTGTGTCTTGCAGATATTCTTTATTTCACTCCTTTCTCCTCCTTGTTTCTCTTTCTCCCTAGGATTTCCGTGAGAAAAACACAGATCATATGCGTCCAGACATTGTAGCTCTCCTGCGAAGCAGCAAAAATGCCTTTATCTGCGGAATGATAGGGATTGACCCGGTGGCTGTGTTCCGATGGGCAGTCCTCCGGGCGTTTTTCAGGGCAATGGTTGCTTTTAGGGAGGCTGGGAAACGATACATTGAGAAGAAAACTGGTAAGTGTGCCAATTTCCTGACTCTAGTGTATGTTTTCCACCAGCAGCACGGATCTAATATGTTTCTGCAATATTTTAAATTGCCAGACTGACTTACCAGGAGTTAAAAATGACTACCAGAAATGTTTATATAGCTGATATCCAAAAGTTATGTTTACAGTCGTGTTTGCAGTAGAATTTTAGCACTCTAAGTTATTAATTTTACTGCTGCTCCAACTTTTCTTTTTTTTGTAGGATGCATGCATAGGAAATCCAGAAAGATTCAAACAGAAGCATAAAAATTATTCAGCAAATAAAGCAAATTCTTTTTAGTTAGGAGTTCTTTAGCTGTTAAGGTTACATCTGGGAGAAAATGGGACGTAATTCTTCTTTAGAGTTTTTCAAGCTGTTCACCCTTTGAGCTGAAAGAGAGCGTGTCTCTTGTCTAGCAAAATTCATTGCTTCGCAGTCATGCAGAACCACCTATCCGTCCTCATGCAGAACATGGGGGCATTAAATTAAAGGAAAGTAATGGTGCATCATCATGCTGTGGCAGGCAATACTTGGCTGTGCTTTTAGAACATTTCTCTGCATTAAAGCAATTTTGGAAAGACGGGTACAAGCTATTACTATTAATTTCCGTGCACAAGAGGGCTTGAAATTCATGATGAAATTAGAACATCAGCAGGGAAAGCGTCAGCTGAGTTAAAATTAAGCACAGAGCTGCCCCATTCATTTTCAGTTTGAGACGCGGTGAGGTGTGCGTCAGGAGAGCCAAGGGACGAGAATCATAGATAGGGAAGCTGTGCAAGCAGGAAGAATAATTTTCTTGTTTGGGGAGAATAATACCAGCCTCTTGGTCAAATACCAAGAACAGCAGGAGACAAAACCGGCTTTCAGCTATTGAAGCTCTCCCCCAAACCACTCTGGAGGGGAATGAGAAAGGACATTTCTCATGAACCTGTGTCTGCCTGGCACATCAAGGCAGCACTTGGACATCGGTGTTTTGCCATGCCAAAAGGAGGGTGGCAGGGACGTTTCATACTGCAGCCTCCCTGTGCATTGGAGCTTTCTTGAAGCTTCTCATTGGCACTGGAGAAAGGCCGCTTAAATGAGTTGGCTCTGAAAATCTCAATTTGCATTTTCCTAGCATCACCTCTTAATCTTTCACAAATCCCAGGCTGAGCTACAGCAAGCTGTTTGAGGAAATAAAAAATAAAAAATATATATATATGTTCAGGCTCTGAAAGTAAGAGCTCTTCCCCTGCTGGTTTCAAGCTCTGCTTTGCTTTCTCTGCCTCTTGCTGTGCTCATCTCCATAGCCAGCTTTCTGCCTTCCCAGCCTTGAGTTTGTGGCAGTGACTTGCTTATATCTATATAAATCAATGTATAGATATAAATCAGAGTCCAGGAGGTTTTCGGACAATTTTGGAAAACTCAGTTCTTGCACCACCTTCTTTTTCCAACTAACCAGTACCCGGTAATGGCTGAGACAATTTCAAGCTTTTTCTGGCACACAGTGCTGCTGTTTTATCTGTCTTAGATCATTTGGACCACTTTCAAGTGTCATTGCCCCACTTTTTACTTCAAAGCCTCTATTTTTAAAAGTTAAAAAGGCAGAAAGAAAAAAAAAAACAAAAAAACAAGAATCCTCAAAATGATGGATAGATTAGGTTCACATTAAACTTCCTGATAATCCTCCAACAATTTGTATGCTGAATTTCTGCCCACGTGCAGGATGTTACTGAATAATTCCTGAATTGGGAAAGTGTCATGGAAATTCACCATTCTATAGACAGAAGTAATGGCAAGACTTTACCTAAAGCTAATTCCTGTGATGAGGTAAACCTTCATCTGTCAGAGAACATCTCCTGCTTCCCCTCCAAGCAATGGCTGAGCAGGGGCAGTGACAGTGCCTGGGTCTCTGCAGAGGATGTAGCTGGTACAAAATCCCACCTGTCTTTCAGAAGCATCCCAAATCAAAAGGCTTTCCAGGAGACGTAGCTGAGCAGAAGGCTTGGCCAGTATCTAGGACTATTAACCCTCCTGCTCCCCAAAATAATGCTGAAAAGCCACAACATGATGTTTTGGACAGGGCACCTACGGCAAAATGCATTTATAAATTATTAAAGAGTCACTTGGCACTAAAATTACCTGGTAATTGTTCTGGAAAATGCAGGCAACTGAAGGACAGCATATGTTTTAAGTTTATTTTATTTTTACCAAACCTTACTGGCTTTAATTAGCCTGATTTGAATGCCTGAGTGCCTGTGAATGTGGAGCTTTTGTTGAAATTATGGTGGATTAGCTGAGAAGAACCTCACACAAATAACCTTGTACGTCCACGCAAGTGTGGCACGCGTTATAATTTTATGTAATTTGTTAAAAGGCGTGCTGCCCAGCTCTTGGTTTCTGAAGCCCTGTCTGCTGCTGCTACAATCCATCGGGCAGGTGTAACTAATGAACAGAAAAATGTCTGAAGCATGTTGCTTTTTTTCAAGCCTCTTTGTATTCTTTTGTCTTCACCACAAATTGATCTGCACTGCTTCTACCTGTCTGAAGGCCTGTCCGAGTCATGCTTGCAATACCCAGCGGGGATTTTCATGAAAAAAAATCTGTAGCCTGTGCATAAGCAGCTTTTCAAAATTTGCTCTGCTTTCTTTTTCTGTCAGCCTTTCAGTTATCTTCTCTGTGCCAGCAGTGCCAAGCAGTGCTGTGAGATCTGTGCTGCTGCAGGGATGACTGCACTTGCTTCCCGCTGTGTTTTTGGGGCTCTCCTTTTTCTCTTTCGTGCTCCTAATATTCTCGTAGTGCAGCTTTTAGCAACTGTGTGACTGTCCCTGTTAACTTGGAGGCGAATAGCAGCAAAGCAGCATAACTGCAAGCTTTCTTCTCCCCAAGAGATAGCTCTCACGGTGCTGCCGACGCTCTGCAAATGAACCATTCCTCGATCTGGCCAGATGCAATTAGCTGAAGGGTGGACTCTTTCCATAGTTGGATGTTGTTATTATTATTATTTAATTTATCAGGGAGGATTGAGATAGTCCAAAAGAACTATACATTGGAAGTAGATTTGTTTTTAATGAACTTTGATGAAAGGAACATTATCAAGCTTTTTAGGAAAGAAATTTGGCTGATTGACAATTTTTTGTGGTCTGCTATATCATTGCTATGAATTTATTATGCAAAAAAAAAATAATACTTTTTCTAGTGAAAACTTAGAAGAGTTGGTGCTGTTCATATAAATCAGGCTATTGGGACTCTGAGCTTTCCCATTTGTTTTTTGCTGAAGTTGGGATGCCATGCAGCCCCATCGCCCCGCTGCCTTGTCATGAGGTAACTGAAGTTAAAATGATCGTTAAACTGAAGTTAAAATGATCTGCAAAAAATGATTGTGGAGGTTCCACTGAGCAGGATGAAGGGGTGTTACTGGAGAAGGACGACCCTTGACAGTGTTCCTCTGTAAAGTTCAGCTCGGTCCTTTCTGATGTTTTAATGCGTTGGTTTAAATGCTTCCATACGTGCTGGCACAAGGTAACTCCTCAGTAACCTCATCACACAGGAGCATGATGTATCTCGGGGAGTTCTGACTGCCTTGATCAGTTAATTGAATGCTGACGGAGAGGTGCTGCCTGGTCACAGAGTGGCACCTGTGTAACCTCTCCTCCAACACGGGGCTGGAGCTGGGCCACCAAAGTCCTCCCAGAGATGGTTTCTTCCAGCTGCTGGCCTCAACCCATCACTATTTCTGTCTTCTCCTTAAAAACAGTCCCACCTCAATCCAGTCAATGTCCCTTAAGGAATACTGAATCCTTGTTAATACAAGTAATTTCTTTTTTCCCTTTATTTGTCAATATCCGAGCAAAGCCCAGAACTGGGATGAAATGAGAATTTGAGGTGGCTGTGCCTGGGAGCATCTGTGCAGGAAATTACAGCTAACAGCTGGCAGAGGCACGGAAAGGATTTTGAATAGCAGTTAATAAAAGCAAAGATTTGTGTAATCATTTATTTTATGTCCAAATAATCTTGGAGTAATTATGAAGTTATTGTGCTCTGGCTAATAAAGACCGTACGGCGCTGGGGAGTGCTGGAGTTGGGATGCCATCCAGCCCCATCGCCCCGCTGCCGTGTCATGAGGTAACTGAAGTTAAATTGTGTCCTCGCTGCATGTGGTCCGAACTGCTGCAATTTAGGGAAGCTCTGATCCAGGCGCAAGAAGCGTGTGGCTCTCGAGCTCTCGTGTCCCTCGGGCAGTTGGCAGCGTTGTTCTTCACTCTCTCCTGATTTCTGCTTATGTAATCTTTCTCTTCTCTCCGTTTTTTTGTTTTTATTTTGCTTCCCAAGGGCATGATGATGCAGTGCCATGTGCGGTTTTGAAAAGTGTGGATAGTTTTAGCTTTCTCCATCACCCAGTTCACCAGAGGAGCTTAGAGATTCTGCAGAGATGCAAGGAGGAGAAGTACAGTAAGGCTCCACATCCCGCCCTTCTCTCTGATACCACACTCACACGTCAGGAAATGGAAACCAGGTGCATTCGGCAGAGAAAGGGTGAAAACACCTGAGAAGCCTTCCAGGACAACCTGCTGGTTGCCAAAAGAAATTCTGAGCCCATTGGAAATTATTAGGCAGAGCTTGGAGAGTAAAATCAAACACAAACCCATGCCTTTTTAGACATGGGGTGGTTTTGCTAAGTGCTTACCCTGTTGCTGACCTAAGTCAGGATGCTGAAGCTCAGGGTATTCTTGTTCTGTTGTTACCACACATCTGATATTAAGCCCAAAGAGCTGCAGATGCAGTAGGAGTATCTCTGCATGTGGCTTGATGCAGCTGAATTTGACTTCAGACTTGCAGACAGATCTCATTCTGGTTTGATTTGTTTCTCGATTGCACCTCCATTAATTTCATCAGACTCTAAAAATAATGATAGTTTGTGAAAGCACCAACATGGTCTCCAAGGGCTATTACTTATAGAGCATTTGGCAATGTTAAAAAGAATGAGCAGGTAAAGATGCACTTGGTCTCCATTTCTGCCTCCTCACTCCTCTGTCACGTAATAAACTAGTTCTGCATGACAACACGTACACTTCTGCCTGCGCTACTAATTTCCAGGGCTGGACTTGTGTGGTGGGAGGAGAAGGGAGTCTGAGCATAACCTCATGGGGCTGGTCAGCGGCGTAACGCCGTGCAGGGACGTCCTGCTGCTCGTGAGCACGGTGCCACTGCATCACTTGAGAGGCCACTTCCAGCTGCAGACCCTGTAATTACCTGTTGGAGAATAGGAAACGATGTAGTTTTAGGAGTGGCCTCACTGCTTTCAGGTGATGCAAAAACCTACAGGTGAACCTTCAGAAGTATGTGTGTATATATATGTATGGATGTATTATTTTGTGCTTGCAGCTTTAGATGTATGATTTTGTGCCATTATTATCTTCCATTATTTTGCATACCAAAGCTTACAGAAATGCAGCATTGCTATATGCAGTCAAGGGCAAATTCTCTGCCCAAGTTCCTAACTTTGCCATCATTGCAACTTAGGCGCGAATGCAAAATTTTATGGTTTGTTTCTGCAGAAATGAGCATGGTAAGTACAGCAGTTGCATGTTAATTCTCCACAAATGTACAATTTCTTGCGAGAAACTTCAGATCAGGTTTCTCTTTTCTGCTTCCTGCAGCACTCAGGGAGCAGAGGAAGAATGCTAATTCTTAATTTAGACTTTTGTCTACCCATGTTATTTTTCCTGCAACTTCCCACTGTTGCTTTTATTACCACAAGGAAATACAAAGCAATGGAGCAAACATAGCAATAGATTTTCTGAAGTAGCATTGTGCTAAGTGTCCTTACTGAAGGCAATTGTCAATTGAGCAATTTTAATTGCAGGTAAAGATGTGTAGGTTAGCTCAGCAGTATAGGAAATCTGTCTTTTTTGTTGTTGTTTCTTAATTTGCAGTTTGCTTGGGAATAAAGGGGGGATTCATACAGAGCTACTTTGAAACACAGTCTTAAATTAATGTGAGGCAGGGAAGTCATATGTATATGGCTGTTGAGTTCACTACTCTAAAACCTTGTTCATTATGGGCTAGTCTAATAGTCCATGCAGTTTGTGATATAGGTCCCTCAAACGAAAACAAGGCATGGATCCACAAGCAATGTTGCCATGGTTTTGTGAATTGGCCAAGAGCAGTTGACCTGACAAACAAGCAATTCATGTTCTCCTTTGAGAAATCATTCTTATCTACCCATGCCTTGCCCCCCCCCAACACTGGCCATTTCACTGGTGTCTTTGTGTCCTTGTCTTCAAGAATAAGGCCCAGTGGTTAGACATCTCAGTTCAAGACCACATCTGTCCTGGTTGTTGCTCATGAGCAGTGAGCAAACTGGATATTGTCCAAAGCTCTTCCCAGTGAAAACGTCCCTTAGGCAAATCAGTATTTCTGAAACTGCAGTTGAGAAAAAGGGAATAGGTTTTGGAGATGGGAATAATTTTTTCCTGAAACATAAAATTGATCATCCTGCATCTGAGCTGGGTGCAGGGAATGAGTTGCTTCTACTCTCACCATTGTTCCTTGGCATGCAGTGTATTAGTATGTACAACTTATTAACCCATAATAATTTTACATAATCCTGTAAGCCATACACAGATCATCTGATTAAAATCATCTGATTCACAGGAAGCCCTCTCTGTTTCCCAGAAGAGGGGCTACATGAGTATGGCAACTTTTATTTAGCTTTGGCATGTACAGAATCATAGAATCATAAAGGTTGGAAGAGACCTCCATGATCATCTGGTCCGACCATCACCCTACTACCAATATCACCATATTATTATGTCCCTAAGCGCCAGGTCCAACCTTTCCTTGAACATCCCCAGGGACGGTGATGCCACCACTTCTCTGGGCAACTCGTTCCAGTGCCTGACTACTCTAGGTCTGCTTTTGAGAACCAAGGAGTGGCACATTTTAGTCTTTTTGTTGTATGTCGAAATCAAGCTTCTTTAACCCAGCTTGTACCATTGTGCACCATAACTTTTATTAATCAAAAAGTCACTTAAGGTGCAAAGCTGGCAGAACTACAGTGCAGTTCTAATGCAGCTATTATCTGGAAGTCTGAAAGAACAAATCCCTTTTCCTGATCAATGCCAGGTGCAGATGCAGTGATATTTTGATGCTTCCTTGCCTTCATAAGTTTGGTCTGACCTGGTTGGATGATGGCTTGGGATTTTTGTTTTAGGGATTTCTTTGGTGAGGAATGAAGGAGGGGACATAGTTTGCTCCAAAAAGGAAAGAAAAATTTTGCAGTACCAGTGAAAACTCGCTGTTTGTGATTACTAGAACTGGTCACCAAACACTGCAAGCAAAGTGAAGTGCTTTAGGTTAAAGGAGCCTTCTGTGCAATAACAGGCAAGCATCCAGGCCTGTGTGCTATACATAAAATAAACACAGCCAGACATTAGGTGCTTTCCTGTTGTAAAGGTAACTGCAAAAAATAGTAAGACAGTATTTTAAGGAGGGAAAAAAAATCAGCAAATAGTGGAAAAGTCCTCAAAGAGGAGCAGGACGGATACCTAAACAGTGCCTGAAACCACCCACCTCTAGCAGAATCACTGCTGCTCTGCTGGCATTGCAGTTCTCTGGACTTGGGCCCCAGAAACAGAAGTCTGAAGGTTTATTATTGCAGATTTCTGACTATTCTGTCTTTTTTTCTTTGTACTTGGGTTTCTGTGCTCTAAAGAAGCAATTTGTGCCACAGAAATGTAAGTCTTGAAAGAGGTAAAAGAACGCACCTCTGATGATGAGTAATGTAACAGAAAAAATGGCTTAAATTGCAACAATGGAGATTTCAAAGAGAGCTTTAAACTCTAGGCATAGCTAAGCACTAGAATAGATTATCTGGCCTGCTTTTGAAAAATCTTCAGTTAGAGATTGCAAAACCTCCTAAGCAGGAATTGTTTCTGCCTTGGAGCAAGGGAAGCTTTAGATGGCCTGTGGCAGCACAGTCCCATTTTTTTTCGCTGAGATTTCAAGGATATTTGGACACTTGCACCTTTAGACATAACATTAACCAAGTGTACTGTTAGCTTTTTTCTTTTTTTGGTGTTCAGGCTCCATATTATAATGTCTGAGGAGGTGGAAGAGGCCAGCAGGTGTCCTGTTGGAGGGATGCTGTATGCAGAGGTTTGCTGGGAGCTCAGCTTCTCTTTGGGAACCAGGCTGTAAGGAGTGGACTGGGGCTGGCTCCAGTCTCTGTGTGCTCACTTCTGTCTTCAGCCTCAGAAAAGATCCTTATGGCAACTCTTAGCTCAGAAACTGGGCTGTGTAAGAGAGAAAAATGATAGATCTGGGCAGGGAATATGCTATTGCTTCTTCCTATTCAGCTACAAACTATTTTAGACTTCTTTTCTGTGTATTTTTTTTCTCCAGTTTTGTCCCACTAGAGAAGTGTCAGGGTAAAGGAATATACAATTTTCTTGTGTTTAAACGAGTGCTACAATGTTTCCTGTCTCACAACAGAGATTTCAAGACACTTAAAAATTGCTTGGCTGTTTTCTTGTCAAATCCAAGCTTATTGGGTCTTTAAATATCTGTAGTTTAGTGACTTGAAAGGTGTTTTGTTTTCTACAAAAATTGCCTTCTGTCATCGTAAATGCTTGGTTACAAAACATTTTCATTTTGGGGAAGGTAACAGATGAAACGTCTGCTTCTGTAACCATGCACGATGACTTCCTTGGCTATTTCTTATGTATGATGCTCTAAAACTACCCCTGTCAAAGGGTATAGCTCATTAACACCTCCTCATGCAGCACGACTTGCTGTGCGCATCCATACCCGTTTATCTGCAAGAGGGGAAGAAGCATGCAAGGAAAAATATTACCATTTCCCTGCAGTGATCTGAATACCTGTCTTTCTCCAAGCACCTTATTTATAGCCAGGTATTTTGCCTGTGTAAGCAACCAGGCTGTCCCATGGGCACTGGGGACCCTGTGTTACTGCTTAGGAGTATTTTGGACGTGCAGGAAATGGGTGGCCAGTCCCCAGCGTCACAGCAGCGCTTCCTTCACCCCTGTTGCTTACGAGTCTGGGACAACGTGTCCCTAACACGAGGTGCGTATGTGGGAGGGAAAGCAATACGCTTGAGCAAACAGTGTTACTCATAAGGATGATGACTCGGGGGCAGAGAGGTACGATGTAGTAGACGAAGGGTATGTCAGCATCCTTGGCACCCTTGTTTGTATGCCCAGCATGTGCCATGACACGTACATACTCCTCCTCGCTGTAGTCAACACTAAGCTATGGCTCTGCTAATTGCATTCTGGTGAAGAGCCAGGTAGAAACTTCTCTCTTGATGTGCTGCTTTAGGTATTACTCGGAAAAGCCCACGAACACCGCTCTCAGATCTCCAGGGAGTCAATACCATCAACGAGAGGACCCAGCGGTAAGTCTCTTGCTTTTACATTGCCACAGCATGGAAATGTTAGATGGGAGAGCGCTATCGGTTTTTACAAATGACTGTATTAATGTTTCTCCCAACATGTTTATTAATGTTGTCTTCTCTTCATTCTCGTGCTGCTATGTGGTCATATCAAAATATCTTTATGTGGCTTAACAGCAGGCACAGAAAGCAACTTTCCTCAGTCACAAGGCAGAAGTTGTAGGGGATCTGATGTACGAAGTGGTAAGAAACATGCAAAAAAATAAAAAATAAAAAGGATGTGCCAACATCAAGGAAAAAAAATGAAATTGTTTATTGAGCATCTTGTTTGCTCAGGTCTGCCTTCATGGCTGCTCTGAGTTTCATGAGAAGAACAGAACAAGTCCAGAAGATGCTCACCAAACACCATGGTGCTTGCATCTCAGTGTATTGTTTGTTTTGTATGCATGTGACACAAAATATCCTCCAAATATCTTATGAAATCTCTGGTTTAGTTACTTTAATGTCAAATGGCCAAGATAGAAATCACAGAAAAGCAAGAATATCTAGGGGAACAAAAGGGCCTTTTATTGTCTGGCTTTTTTGAACACATCCTCGGAATTTCCCTGAATTTCTTCCCTTTGAGAGAGGTGGATCAGCATACTGCTGATCATGCACGGCACCCTGCTGAAGGAGCACTGAATACTCTCAAACCACTACAAGTTGGCTTATTTTGTGGCCAAATAGGATTCTATTTCTGTGAAGTTTTTACCTAAAAGGATTGAGCCATTCAGACAGGAACGTCTTGCTGCAGAGTAACACCTTTTCTACAGGGAGCAAGGCAGGCTGGTAGAGGATGTGTAGCTGTAAAGCTGATACGTGATCTTTTAGGAATTCAGTCCATCTCTGCAAATTTGTGACACTTCATGGCTTTGTGCAGAAATCCTGCTTTCAAAAACAATCTCATCCTCTGGTGGAAAGGAGATTACTACCTTGTCTTTCCTTATGCCAGTCTTTCCCACCTCTCCTTTTGTTTTTTGTGCTGCTACAGCTCTAATCCGTTGGGTTACGTAGAGCAAGTGTATGGCAGCATTTGAAGCAGAGAAGGTTGTTGTCTCCAGAAATGATGTTCTCTCTTTCTAGCTTCTCTGGTTGCACAGGTATCCTTAAATGTGATGTAACATGAAACTTTGTCGCTGTGAAGATCTTGGGTAGATAAGAGGCGTTCTGCAGTTTCTCTAGCTGCAATCTCTCTCACAGCAGTCTGAAGGAGGATGCTTATTGGAAGAAAGCCTTCAGATGTGATGTTGGTGCTTGGATCACGTCTATGAAGTAAGACAGGGCTTTTCAGGTTGTACAGCTCCAACTTCAGGGCCTGTCAGTGTGGCACTATTTTCATAGCCCAAAACATTTTAATTAATTTGGAGCTGTTGATAGCACATCTTGTAAAGGCAGGGGAACTCCTACTGTCCCAGGGAACAAGGAGGATGTATTTGTTTACTCCTCGCTGTGGAGTTCAGTCTGTGGTCAGCTGTATTTATTTGGCTTAAAACAAGCCAGTACAGCCCACAAGTTCCCTTAAACAGTCAAGATCAAGGGTAGCAACTGCTGTGCCTTCCGTGTCTTCCTTCCTTTATCCTCAGCAGTTGTATCCTAACAATAGTCAGGACAGACATTTATTCCTTTGATGGACACGTTTGCAGTGACTGGCAGAAAATGTATTTTTAAGGGCATAACTCCTGTGTTTCTCCCGGTGAGGTGGTTCAGCAGTGTGGGCCATAATCTTGGCATCCTTGGGCGATGAAGCCTTGGGCATCACGAGTGACCAGTCCCCAATCGTAATCTGTGCCCTTTCCATCTGAAACTGTGAACCAAAGTGTGATGTGTGATACCTTTAAAATCCAGAATGGGCTTTTGGAGAAGGCACGTGACTTTAATGCCTTTTATTGTGGATAATTTTGATCTGAAGAGGTGTGAATTGCACTTTGTAAATGTAGGTTTTTTGTTTAAATTGCACTTGTCAGAAAAGAGGAGCTAACTACAGAGATAAAGGTAACACCTATAGAAAAGAGATTTACTTTAACAGCCGTGCTGATTGATTATCCCTCATCTCAGAAGTGCAGAGTTGTAGCTTCCCAATACTTCCCAACAGATAAGTTGGTGAGTGATTTACGGAGCTAAATTAAGCAGAGGACTCCTCTTTTAAAGCCATCTCATTATCATGTGGTGGCTGATAAGTCTGCCTTGTACATCCAACCCACAGGATAGCCCCGGGCTCTCGTCTAAAAGCAAATTTCAGGCATGACATCATGCAGGAAGTCACGGGGAGGGCTTAGCGAGCCTTGCTCTCTCTTCTGATCTCCTTGGAAGAAAGTGGCCGTGTGGTTCACACATGCTGGGACGGCAGCGGGAGGAAACCAGGCCTCGGCAGAGCATCGGGGAGCCGGCATGCCTTGGAAGTGCCTCCAACGGCCACCGAGTAATGAAAGCCATGCCATCGCTAACCAGAAACTCTTGGGCTGTCTGTTTTTGTGCAGCAGAAGCCTTTTTATGTTCCTTGATGTCTGCACAGCGTGCAGGGAAGCAGGTGTTGATCAGTCCACCTTGAAACAGTTGGTTCTGCCCGGTGAGATGATTGCCTTCCCAAGCACCAAGACAGCTGTGCCGGTCACTGTGTGCATGTATTCATCCCAAAGTGTCCTTAATAAAGAGGGTTGTTCTCTCCTCTGTTTTTTTTAAACTTCATGGGAATTCCTAGGGTTTTCTTTTTTTAGCCTCATTCAGAGTCTGTATAACCATGGCCTGTCTTAAGCAAGAGAGTACGTTATGGTTGGCGCAAATTAATGACAGGTTGTAGATCCCAAAAGTGGCCATTGAAGTTTAGGGGAATTGGTCAACTGGTGATGTTTTTCCCCTGCAAGTGGGAGGCTTTGGGACCTTAGTTGTGAAGGTAAAGAAGGTGGCCTGGAGACATCACTTGGTGATTAAAGCTTCTCACTGGCCTTCCTTGCATCGAATGGGACGCTGAAAAAAAAATAAAAAAGATCCTTGAGTGCTCTGTCAAAGGTTTGCTTTGCTGTGATTCATCCTTTCTTTTAATAGCAGTACATGTCAAAATAAAGATTTAATGGAACTAGGAAGGAATGTTAAAAGCACTGCGGCAAGGTAATAAGGGGATTTGGACTTTAATATTATATTGCTCCAAGGATCTGGCTATAGGCTTTGAGCTGGCTGAATTAACAACTTTACCTGCTTAATTTCTTCTTTCCATGTGGCACTTGATGATATTTCCCCTTCCTTCAAAACAAGACTTGAAGGCAAATAGCTGCTTCATTGCTAGACCTCAGAAGTGATGCCCGAGGCCTCATTTAAATCACCGTGTCCATCAGCATCTTCATGACCAGAAAACTGAGGCTGCATTACTGGTGTCCTCCATGTGCTGGGTCTCTTCCTATTCCTGTATCTCTAGTGGTCTTGCAGACCCCACATCTCTCCTTAGACCAGCTTACAGCAGTTATTTGATGTGACGGTTTCTGCAAGGCTGGTAGAGAATTACAAAAACAAACAAAGTATTGCAGCCCAGGGAGAGGCTTTCTGTAACCCCAGGCACTGGAGGGAGGCTCCTCTTGGCCTCCGCAACCCTGGAAGTTATTTTCCTTGACATGAAGCTTTGTCAAGGCTTTCCCTTCCTCCAAGGGGGGAATTTGGTTCCTCTCGCCATCCCCTTCAGTCTGCTGTGAGCCAGGGCTGCCAGGGTACCCCAGTTCCTGGGTACCAGCATGTCTCAGCTCCACGGCAGAGAGGAACGAACTGGGTGAGTGGGCGGTGTGATGGTTTCATGGTTGGGTACCACTGAGCGATTCCGGGCCGACCCCTCCATCCTGCTGAGACTGACATCCTCAGCTTGTGGAGAATAATTAGTTTATTGCAAATGCTATTTTCTTTTTCTTTTTATAGTGAAAGGACTGCATGAATTAGAAAAGACAGGGTCAGCAGCAGCAGAATCTAAAGTAGTGAATGCTATTAATGACAGCAAGGCTGATAAGCAGAGGTCATAGTCTCGTATTCATTGGGCCACCGGAGTATCTGCAGAGCCAAGCATTCTGGCAGAGAGGACGGGAAGTTATCCTGTTGACAGATAGATCCTTTTATGAATACTTGAGTTTTGGAAAGTGCTTAACTAGTCAGTCACTTCACATGCTGCGTCTGGCATCGCGACCTCATCATTTGGGAGTGAACAAATGGTGAAAAGAATAAATCAGTGACTGTCATTTTCTATTGTTGTTAATTTTCATGATCTTCCACTTTAGAAGACGGTGGTGGTTATTAAGTGAATGCTCCAAAAGCTTTATTCTGTCATAGAATCACCTTTTGTAATATATATTCCTAATCCTGTGCTGACTGCCCTGTTTGGTGTTTCAGGGATGCCTACGCGGTCGGCTGGAACGGCCGGATGGGGATGCGGCACAGCAGGCTCACCAGCCCCAGCTCCTTCCTAGACAAAGATGGGATATTCGTGAACACAACCAACAGCAAGCTGCTGGAAAGGGCCCATGGGATTCTCATGTTAGTACAAAAGGAGTGGATTTTGGCTTTATTTCTAGAGTATAGTGAGTAGTATGGGTAATAAGGGGAATGTAAATAGCCAAAACAACAACAAATTCAAGTTTCAAGTGGACTTGGACACTGTTGGGTCAGAGTGACCCTGGTATGTTTTATGCGTCTGATTTATTCATTTCTTATCATCCATTTATAATGACAGACACAGGAAAGTGGTACAGGGAAGCAAGAGAAGGGATGAGTCTTCTTGTCAAACCAGTCTAAAGAGATGACAGCGATGTTATGCAGTAACATTTTTTAACATGATATCAAAGTTTCCATTACAAATGAGTTGTGGAAATGATGTTGATGAATCATGGTACAGCCTCATCAGAAGTTTCAGAAAACATCACCAGGGTGCCTGGAGGTAACGTGCGGCATGAGAAAGCAGGGTGGTCAGTTGTTCTGCGATGCCACTCCCTGTTCTGCCCAAATTACCAGTCAGCCCATCGTTCCTGATGTAACAGTTTGCTTTAATTGAATGCCTTCCTCTCCAAGCTGTGGAGATAAATTTAGAAAACTAGTTTGCAGCTTACGGAAGGAACCTCATTTCAGTGCAGGTTGTAGGAAGGAGTTTCTAAAGGGGATTTTGAAGGTCCTGTTTCAGAAACTTGTATTTTTCTGGATCTTCTGTTATTGCTTGTACCATGCCACAGTAAAGAAAAAAAAAGTATTTCTAAATGGTAGAAGTTGAGCCGTCCTATTGCAATACCACAATGGTAACCATACACGCTCTTCTGCAATTGCACACGTGGATTAATCTGAGCCATTTATTATCTCCCCAGGCGAAATAAGAACTTCAAAGCCAAACCCAGTCTCCCAAAGGTGAGAGAGAAGCAATGTTTTGACCTTGCCAGTCCCCGGGTTAAGGCTGTATATACAGTGTTGAGATGCTTCTGTGTGTGTAAGGAAGGAAGGTGGCTGTGGCTGCTTTCAGGACCATCGTCATCTCTGCTGTTTTGCTCTGTTCAGAGTTCTTTAATTTCTGTAAAACCGAAGGATTTCTGATTTCTGCTGGGAGAGGACTGTGTGAGCGCTCGCACCCTCCTTTCTCTGACCTGCTCAGGCTCCTTTTTTCCTCCTCCTGAGGGAGAAGTATGTACATGCTGGGGAAATTTGATAATTAAATCTCTAAAATGAGCAAGTAGGTTATGCAGGATGGCTGGTACCTGATAGACAAAGTCGTTGCCATGAGGCCTACCCAGTTTTGTCTGAAAAAAATCTCAAAATTTCCACCCTACCCTACAGCATGACTGTGTGCTGTGTGTGACTTAGAGTCCCCATAATCTTTGAATAGCTTGTCTAATTCTCAGATTCCCTCTACTTTGGCTGCATTTACTGTATTGTAAGACAAGAAAAGCTGAGAAATCTGTTTTAACTGGAAGAATAATGGTTTTTGTGGTCACTGCCTGGCTTCTCATAAGGATTTTACTTGCAGAGGGCTCAGTGTAATGACAGAATGAAGCAGGCTACAGCTTCAAGTGCGACTAACATGTGCCCAAAATTTCTCTCTTGCCCATTACTAAATGATCTCTGGATAAAAAGAGCAGTTCGGCACAAATTGCCGTGGCAGGCTTGGTGCGGCCCAGATCAGAGCATCCTTGTACTAAGACCCACGTAACTTCCACGCGGGCAGATATGCTACTTACTCCTTTGATTGACATTGCAGATTGTGCAGTTATGAAATAGTTTTCAGTCCACCTCAGTCTTCTGATAGCCCAAAGCACTGATGCTGGCTGCTTTTGTTCTCAGTTTTGATTTCTGCCTCCCCAAAAGGACGAGAAGGAACAAAATTTAGTTTTATTTTCCTACATGCAGATTGCACTGGGAGAGACACAGAAGCAGTTAGTAAATGAACTCTTCATTAATAGTGAATGAACTGCGTGTGATGAAGCAACTGTTTCATAGCAGTTACAAGGAAAGAGGTTTTCAGTAGGTTTTGTGGGCTGATGCCTTCATGGTTCTGGCTCACTCAAGTGAACTTCTCCACTAGTTCTTGGACAATGTGCGTTTCAAGCAAGCCCAGTCCTCCCGTGGACTTTCTCATCCCCCCACACTTATTGAAAGAGGAGATGCTTATGCCCTGCTGGCAAGCACGTGGTTTCCATCCATGGTTTCCTGTTCACAGGAATGAAGCCCCCGGGCTTGCTAATTATTGCTGATGGCTCATTTTCTATATGTGTGTGATGAATTATTTGCAGTGGCCACAATTCAAGACTGTTGTTAACACACCGTGAAAATAATCAACAAAGGGTCAGCTTTCCAGCAATGTATTTATGTTTGTCTACAACTGCACATTAGTGGGTCGGAAAGCCAAAATTCACATGGTCAAAGATGCCCTTGGCAAGTCCTCAGAGGCCAAATAGGCCAGGCATTTTCAGCTGTTCCTTGATCTTGATGTTTTCCATTGAGATGAAATAGGGTAGGGTGGTTACCCTAAGGAAGCCCTGCGGAGGGTATGAAGGGGGGCATAGCACGGCGGTAAGGTCTAGTTTTATTTATAAAGAACAAACTAAGCCTCTCTCTTCTGCAGCACCTGCTGGATGTGAAATCTCTCAAGCACTTGACCAACCTAACACTGCACGACCGCATTACAAAATCCCTTCTCCATCTCCATAAGAAGAAGAAACCACCCAGCATCAGTGCCCAGTTCCAGGTAATGCAGCACCCTGTGTGGTTTTGAATAAAAGGTAGATACCTGCTCTGGCTCCCCACAGGAGCACTTGCAGGCACAGTGCGGTCCCATCCTCACCACTATTTGTTTAGGACATTAATTCAGCTCAAGATGGGGTTTGGGGAGGCTGGGATGGAGTGCAGCGCCTTGCATTTGTCTGAATGATGGAAATCAAGAGAAGCAGGTTATGGCGGGTGTCGTGATGAGCAGGGGGGTGATGTGCCAAGACAGCATTGGTGAGACATGAAGATGAGCTGCAGAACAGAATTTCATCTGCTGCAGAAGGTGGCTGGGAGAAAGGCAGTCACATCTGTGTAAAATCAGTGGGCAAAGCAGCAGGGAAAGCCTTGTGTTGAGGTGGATTGATTCAGGTCTCCATGTCTGTGATTTTTTAAGTACCCTCCTAGTGAAATGCATGACCAAACACCGATACATGTAGCATGTAGCTCTGTGTGCTTGCACGCCCTCTTCTCTGGTGCCTTGCTCTCAAGGCAATCACATTGTGGTGTTTTCTCTGCTGTATCTAGAAATCTAGTAAAAATCTGCAATGACATTTTAAAGTGTTCTTTTACTCGCATTCAGCATCTGAAATTCAATCTGTTTTCAAGTCAGCCAGAATGTGAATTTTAATAGGTGCGGAAAGGTCAAAATATTGCTGCATTATCTCAAGGCACGCAGAGGAATTCAGAGGAAGGATCAATACAGCATTTGTTGTGTTGGCAGTGCTGTGCGCCAGCCAGCCTTCCCTGGGAATAGCTGCAGCTAAAATAATTCTCAGAAATGTGCATCAGGGCTTGGAAATTGGTACAAGACACATGCACGAGCATGTGGTAATATTAGAAAGCAGCATTTCAGTTAAAAATCATTTTCTAAGGAAGTCTGGCTTGTTTTTTTTTACTCATTTTTTTTTCTTTTTGAGAAGTGAGTCATTTTTAGAAAGTCTCCATGCATAGATCTGGGTAAGATTAAGTAATTTAATATATATTATATATATATATATATATATATATATATATATTAATATATATATTTTGGGGACTGTTAGTTTTAGGTCAGAGGTTGGACTCGATGATCTTGAGGTCTCTTCCAACCTAGAAAATTCTGTGATTCTGTGATATATATATATGTATGTATGCGTGTATATCTGTGTATATATAATATGCAGAATGCACATCTGTATATATATATATTAAGCTTAGTCTAGTCTAATGGTATGCTGGTTAAAATAAATGTCTGCAGAGTTTAAGCCATACATAATTAATACATACATGTACATGGGGGAGCTGAAGTGAGGATGTCTTCCTGAAACCCATTCATCGTTCCAAGGAGATGTGGAAAAGCACCAGGGTGCAGGACTGAGATTCCTGTATATTTTCTAGCACATAAAAATGACAGAGCTCTGAACACCGTGAAGATTCCCCCCTTCCCCTGTGCAGCAAAGCAGAGCCTTCAAATAGCAAATATGCATTCTGACGTTCCCCAGCAGTGACTTGACAACGTAGGAGCTGTGCCTACAACACATCCTCTTTTATTTAAATGAATGAAACCATATTTAAGTCAGAGGCAGCATGCTGGCTTCTGGTGTTACTGCCTGCTTCTCCTTTTAGAAAAATGCCGGGCGCTCCAGCCCTAATTTCATTTAACACTCGTAAGGGAGAAGTATTTTCTCTAGAGACCAGCCTGGTGCAAGCCTGCCACATAGCTTTTTATCAAGAGCACGCTAATAAAATTGCAGAGCATGCAACTGGGTCACAGACAGGAAATACAAATGTTTCCTATCATGGGGTTTTTGTTTTGTTTTGTTTTTCAGATAAATGCTGCCTTGTGGCTAATGCCTGGACAGGGAGCTTGCAGCTGCTCTGTCTCGTATTGATTTTAACCATGCCTTAAGTTACACTGCTCTATAGGCAAAATAGCTCTGAGTCACTGCTGCCTGTATTTAGTGGACGCTGTGATGGCTTTCTTGGTAAAATAAATACATAAATAAATAAATGGAAGGACAGGGATTTGTACAGGCTTCCCCGTTACCCGCCTTTCAGGTGTTTTTTTCCCTGGCAAAAGGAGGCTGCCCTTGCTCAGGGCGATGCAGAAATGACAAATCGCGCCCTGCGAGGCTGAGTCCCAGCGGTGCAAGAGCGTGAGCTGGGGAGGTTTTGCAGGCATTGGACAAAGGAGCAGGGCAGGGAGTTAATCCGGGGACCCTGCCTGTGCCTTACGGATTCCCGGTGCTCGGGGCAGGCCAGATGGCGGCGGGGGGCATGCGGCGGGGGGACCATCTGCCACGCACGGTGCAGCAGTGGCTGCCGATGGGATGGAAACACCGCGCTCTGCTGCAATTCCCAGCACCACCCATGTACGTCGCTGCTGGTTATTGCTTAATAGAAATTGATTATTTATTTTTTTCCAATCTACCTTCCGCAAAAGACACCCACAGGCAGAAATCCGGGAACGCGCCCACCCGCTGAGGTCTGCGGCATCGCAGCCTCCCCGGGATGGGAGCGAGGGGGCTGTTTGGTGTTTGGCATCACCGGGGGCTCAGCTGCACCACACGTGTGTGCTTCGCCAGTTCCTCTTCCCCAGATGCCGCATGCAGACAAACATTTATTAACATGAAAGGCTTCCCATAAAGGTGGCTTTAAAATGATCAGAAGTAGAATAAAAGGCTTTCTGCAAGCCAGTCTTTAGACAACGTGCGTCTTGCTAATATTATGCACTTGTGCACACAGGTTTATGACCATGTATATTCATAAATTTGTAGCTGCATATAGTAAATACACAACAGAATACCCTTTAAATAACTGAGTTTTAGACGCTATTAAAATCGGGTCATTGCCGTGAGTAATCAACTCTGGAGCACGTTATTAATACCACATCAGTAAAGTGCTCGGCAATTAGAGACATCCAAAGCATTTACAGAGCACATAAAAAAAATAAACTGCAGAATGCAGTCAAGGAGTCGGTCCAGCCGCAGAATGACTCAGTGACTGTGTGTGCTCTGATCTAAGGCGGTCAATGTGTTGTTATTTCGGAGAGCTTGTGCTTTGTTGCGTTTTTGCAAGTCGGAGGCGTAACTTGGGATGCCATCCCACTGAAGGAGTTGTATGTAGCAGTGATGCCAATACCAATTCATTTTCATGGTCTACGCTTTTAATAATTGCACAGAAATTAAGGGAAATGAAAATGCCATGAAATCTCAGTGTCAGAAATGGGAAGCTGGCAAAACCTCGATTCTCAGTGATCACAGCTGTATTTTTCAGCAGACAAGTATGGCCAGGAATATGCCAGCTTTGAAACTACTTTCATGTCAAAGCAGCCTATGAAGTTTTTAGGATTTGCAACTTTAAAAATCTATATAAATCCAGTTATTTGACAGAATGGGAGTTCAATCAGGCACGCTCTAGAAAGCAGTTATTCGGCAAGCAGTCAGGTCATCTTCCTGTTCCAGAACTATCATTAAGAGAATTTCTTTCTAGGCCAGTGATGATGTTCTCAGAATTAAAAAGCGGAATAATTTTTGACAGCTGAAAATTCTCTTTGTCTTTTAAAGACATCAGCAACCATTGGGTACAAAAGGGTTCGGTCATTATCTTGGAGCTCCCACTCAATACTTATATGTGGCTTACTGGTGCGGAGCAGGAGGTGACTTTGGGATCCAGTGGCAGATTCAGAAATGTCAAACTGGGAGTCTCAAAATACATTTCTGCACAGTGTACTGCTGTGAGTGCCGTCCTGGTTTCTGCAGGAACCCTGAACAAACAGGGTTGTATTTCCCTGTTGCTAATTTGTTGGGTACAAAGACAAAAGCAGCCAAGTTGTAGCACATCTGAGATGCTTGTTTCAGGGAACAGTTTCCTATCTGCCTGGTTTACTCATCGTTTGTTCATAGTTTTGTTTTCTGACATAAGTGCCTGGTGTTTCATTATTCTTTATGTTCCCTTCTCTGTTTCCCAACTGAAGATGTCTCCTCTATTGCAGGCATCGCTCAACAAGCTGATGGAGACTCTTGGCCAGGCAGAGCCTTATTTTGTCAAGTGCATTCGATCCAATGCTGAAAAGGTAAACTCTGACCTGTAAGATCACTGCTGTGAAGGATGTGATTGCAAAACCCGCTCTCGGTGTTTGTTCGTGCGTAACTGATTCCTTCTCTCACTGTTTGGAGATAACAACCCAAACTTGTAGTGTTTTGAGGTTTTGGAAACAGAGATCCTTCTGCAGCATAGCTACTGGATTGGGAAGCAAATAGTGAAATGGACTAGAGCTGGCCTTTAGTTCCTGATCTCCTGTTTAAAATAATTTTTAAAATATTTTGTAAATGTCTAATTGAAGGAAAAAAAAAAAGAAATGAAAGTCAAAATCAAGTTGGATTTATAGGGTATTTGTGCCTTAGTAATGGAAAGCATGGACATTATCACTTGGGTGTAGGATCACTCTTGGTAAAGTGCACTGTCTTTTCTTGTAATAGAAACACCTAGATGAAAAATCTTTAATAAACCAATCTCTGACTCCTCTGAAGCTTCTGCCACCTGTAATAGAAATTTACAGACTTGTGAATTCACTTGTGCCCCTACTGAGCTCTAATGCTTTTTTTTTTTTTAATCATTTGTAAAAGCACATTTTTTTTCAGAATAAGCCATGTTATTCAGGCTGATTCAAAGATGAAGCCAAATTCAAGAAATATGATGTAGAAAGTCATTTATCTCATGGGATAAGGATCCTTAATTTAAAAACAAGGTTGTAGAAACATATTTTTTTTCACATTAATCCTTTGGAGTCTTACCCAGACATTTAAAAATACAAGGTGAAGCTTTATGCCGAGCAGATTGTTTCATTACGCACAATCTTACCTTACTCATTGGCTATGCTGTTGAGGGGTTCTTTCTTACTCAGTTCAGCTGATCCATAAAACCTTTGCGGAAGCTTTCTGTCTAATTAGATGTTTGAAAGTCTCCATCTGATGGCTCTTTGGAAACACAGAGGATTTAACCGTGGTGGTATTAGTGTGGTTCCTGAAAACCCACATTCCCTCTCAACATCGTTGCCAACGTGCATGTGATGCAGATGTGTTACATGTGCTGAAACCATTGACCCATTTGCATATTTAGAAGTTTCACCAAGTGCTTGGAGTTCAAGGAAATATTGGCTGTAAATATTTTTTCCCTTCCAGCTGCCCCTGCGGTTCAGCGATAGCCTGGTGCTCAGGCAGCTGCGGTACACGGGCATGCTGGAGACTGTTCGGATTCGCCAGTCAGGATACAGCTGCAAATACTCTTTCCAGGTTGGCTAAACATTTTCAGTCTTTCACCACTTTTATCATCATTATCACAGTTGTCTGAGTGTTGCTAGCTTGTAAGTATATTTGTGTTTTACAAAGTAATGAATTTATGGCTTGTGCAAGGCAGTGGATGTAATTGGATGACGTTGGGAAGGGAGTAGTCGTGGGCTGTTTTGCTACGCCTGAGTTATTGCAAGCTGCTCTAAACCAAAGGCTGCAAGTCCTTCTGCAGATAACTTCATGGTTTTTGAACAAAAGCAATATTTTTTTCATAATGCATGCAGTATTTTTTCATAATGTATGCAAAATCACTTAGACAAATCTATATCCCTTCAGAGTGATAATGAGAAGTTCAGACTAATGATGGCTGATCCCTGTCTGAGCTGTAACAGGCCAGGTCAACAAAATGTAAGAGTTAAGATATGGGTTCCTTTAGATCAATGTTAAAAGCTGTATGAATGTTTTGTAGGAGACACCTCCTCAGTGTGACCCAGACAAATGACAAAGTCCCTTCTCTTATGTTTAAGCCTACCGTTGGCCATTGAGCTGCTTTTCGGTGCTCGTTTCCTTTGTTTCTTTGGGAGCAGCATTCTCCCTGTTGTTTTGCCACTGGCTGCGTCCCATCAGGAGGCTGATGGGGATCCTCTAAATCACTCAGGAGTTATCCAGCTTCTCTCTCTCTTTTTTTTTTTTTTTTTTTTTTTTTCTTTTCCATATTTTTGCCAGCTTTTGTGCACATGTCAGTTCTTTCATGATTTGCTGTTGCTGATTTGTTTCCTGCTGGCAGCTGCTTTCGGCCAGATGTCATGTCCGTGCAGCAGCTGTTAAGAACGGAGGACTGCTTAGGGTGTTTTTTTTTTGCCATAAGAATGAATCCCAACCTTACTTGGGAGGATCACTCGTCTGATACCTCTGCTCTCTGAGTTCTCACAGCAACAGTGATTGAAGCAACCTCTTCCTTGTGATGCATTGCAGATTATGGTAACTCCCTTTTGTAGTGGCCATTCCTAAGGATTTGTAGCATTTTTGCTCAAAATGACCTCTGCAGATTGTGCAGGGTCTCTCCTCCCACACTGGATGACATTTGAATGTTCCTGGGCCTCTTCTTTGATGTGTTTTCCATGCAATTTTGAACCACAAATGGAGGAAACTCAGTGTTTTCCAGTCCGTAAAATGCTATCTGTCCTTCTGCTCCTTGACAGATCCTTTTTCATGTGGCCAGTGGAGCAAATCCAAGCTGCTTATGCAAAAAGGTGACACAGCAGTACCCATCCCATTTAATCCAATCTTGGTTTTTTTTTTTTTTCCTCAGGATTTTGTGAACCATTTTCATGTCCTTCTGCCACAAGGAATCAGCCCATCTAAGCACAATATCCATGATTTCTTCAGGAAAATAAAACTCAATCCAGACAATTACCAAGTTGGAAGAACCATGGTAAATTTTTATCTGTTTAAGATAAAGATACACCTGCATTTGTGCACAGTTATATTAACATCTTCATATATGGTTTTTAACTAATGAAAGTAATTTTCTTCTGTTTGCAAGAAGCCAATAACCTAGTTGATGCTTTGAATATTGTTAACACAAAATAGCAAGGAACATTGTTGTTTTCTTCTGACCAAGCCACAGTGGTCAGGTTATAACAAGGTAGCCTTTAAAACTCATCTGTGTGCAGACAGATGATTGTTGTTATCATTTTGTCTCCCCAGAGGGGAATGCAGAGGCTTTGTAATTCGTGACTGATGTGTGGTTTTTTTTTCTGCAGGTTTTTGTGAAGGAGCGAGAGCGGCAGCTTCTGCAGGACCTGCTCCATCAGGAGGTACTGCGCAGGATCACACTGCTGCAGCGCTGGTTCCGCAGCATGCTCTGCAGGAGGCAGTTCCTGAGCTTAAGGCAAGCGGCAGTAATCATACAGGTAGGTGGTGGTGCCTAATTTCATCACTAATTACAATCTGTAAGTCCTGTAGATGCAGCTCTGGCTGTAGCTGGAGTATCTGAGGCCTAAAATCAGTTCCCCTCTGCTAGGAAGGAGCTTGCCATCAGGGTTGGACTCCTAGAAGGGTGGTAATTTGGTCATGGGAGAGACCGAGCTGGAAAGCTTGCATAGAGGCAGATGCTCTCCAGTTCCCAAATCATTCATGTTTCAAGGAGCTGCCTGCTGTGTTTGCAGAGATTCTGGCGTAGTTACCAGAGCCGAAAGCAAGGCGAACCATCCCCAGACCCCCTGGTACTCAGCAAAGCTGCAGTTGTGCTCCAGACCCACTGGCGAGGCTTCGTGGAGAGGCGGAGGTTTCTGCAGATGCAGTTTGCTGCTCACCTCATCCAGAGCTGCTGGCGGGAGCACTCGAAGCGGAGGCACGATGCAGCCACCAGCATCCAGGCAGCCTGGCGAGGGCACTGCGCAAAGCGGCTTTACAGAGCCAGCAGAAGCAAAATCATCAGTTTGCAAGCAGCGTGCAGAGGATACTTAGCACGACAAAGGTAACGTTGATCTTAAAATAAATGAATAAAATAAAGAAGTACTTTCTGATAGTGCCCAGTGGGGAGAAGTATGGTCGATGTGAATTCTGGCACTGCTCAGACCACTGTGACTTACAGATGATGGTGTCCCTTCATAGCATCGCTGACACTGTCCCGACCTGCCCTAATCCTTCACTCGTCCACGCTTTCTAACAGAGGAGTTCAGTTAGCTGCACATCCTACTCTTAGAATAAGCAGAGCCTATTTCAGGTTAGAGCACGTAGGCAGTGGAAAGCCGAGGACATAAATACTTGTGAGTTGTTTTTTTTTTCTTGGCAGCAGCACCAGTTTAAGTAGCCTATTTTTAACTCAGATTGGCTGCCAATCTGGTTGCTGCACTGTCTCACAGACAATCAGTCAGCAAGTGGGGTGAGGGCAGAAGCAGGGACAGGAGTTACTCGAGCCAGCTGCTGCGAGAAGAAAAACATTTGCAGCCATGCCTTGGCTCACTGGCTGTAGGGCAGGTCTTGGTTCACTCTCAGGAAGCACTGCCTGTAAGGTGTGGAATGACTGACAAAGAATTGGGAGCTGGAAATAGCTCTTAGTGCAGGGTACGAGTGCCTGTCAGCTGTGCCAGAGGCATCCCAGGCATGATGGTGAAGATGAGGAAGCCAAGGTGATGCAATGTGTTACGGTTTCCTGGCTTACAAACTGTCTACACCAGGGATGAAGTCTGGAACTGCTGTCATCGGCACAGGAGAAACTTTCAGGTGCGTTGGTGCAATTCTTGAGTAGGTGAGATGGCAAAAGAGAAGACTGAAAGTGCACTTGGTGCATTGACCATGAACTTGCATCATCTTGCACCTGACTGGCGAGGAGGATTTTTCGAGATGCTGATGGTGGTGAGATGATGGTGATGAGATGCCCCCAGTGTGGTGCCTTGGAACAATGTTTATGGGCACGGGGTTACAATGTGCTGCTTTTCTGCTTTCTTGCAGGTTTAGAGCTTTGAAAGAGCAGAGGTTAAAAGAGATGCAGCTGGAGAATGGCCTGTCAATTAGTGAAGAGGATGGACTGGAGGCAGAGGGTGCTTTGGAAATTAAGGGCTCCGACCCATCCAAGTGGGAGGATGGCTCGTTTGAAGAGAGAGTGAGAGCTGTAGAGGAACATAAATCACTGATGGAGAATAATCGTGTGAATCATGTGGATCCACTGGACACTTCTGCAAATTTATTGTACAAAAGGCATGAGAGAGCCAGTAGCCAGAGTGGTATGGACACTGAAGAGGAAGTAATTGTGAGAGAGAGACCCAAGTCACTGGAGGATCTTAACCAGAAGAAAGTCGTTCGTGCAAAAAGAGAAAGCCGGAGAATGCGTGAGCTGGAACAGGCAAAATTCAGCTTGGAATTGCTTAAGGTCCGGTCCACCGGAGGGCTGTCGCCTTCAGAAGAGCGACGGTGGTCTACCGAGCTGGTATCAGAGGCACTTCATTCCCCTCAGGGAACCCCGGAGAGTGAAAGCTCTCAAGGGAGCTTAGAGATGTTAAGCTGTGAAGATACCCCAAGTAAACTTGTTTCCTTAGTTTTAGATGAGCAAGATGTGCAGTCATTTTCCCCTGAGACGCAGGACTCTGTGCCTAGCAGTCCCCAGCCCCATCTGCAGGACAAGTCTTTCTGCACAGCTGATGTGAACAGCAATTTATCCAGTTGCAGAAGGATGCTTTCAGACTCTGAGCTGCCCGATAACCACACTGCAAAGGAGCATGTGGTCTGTGACCCCCAGAATTATCTGTACAAGACGCATCCGAGAGAAACTTTCCTTTCTAGTAACCTACCTACTTTCTACATTCCACCACAGGACAACATGAAGGTAAAGCAGTCACTGGTGGAGAATAACTTGAGGAATAAAGCAGCGGAAAGAGAGGAGAAAACAGTTACGTTCTCAGAGATCAGGAAGGACTCTGAGCAAGACCAGGGCAAAGCCTTGGGAAGGGAGGAAGGAGAAAAGTCTTCTGCCAAGAGAGAGGAACGTGGGACAGCTGCTGCGACTCAGACCCATTCTCCAGACTCTGTTATCAAGAGACTGGAGAAGCTCAATGTGGAGAAGGAAGAACGACAAAAGCAACTTCAGCTGCAAAACGAGAGGGAGATGATGGAGCAGATCCGTCAGCAGAAGGAAATTCTGGAGAGACAGCGCAAAGCCTTCGAGCAGCTCGAGAAGCAAGGCCGTGTGGAGGCTTTGCAGAGGGCTGAACTGAGCAGAACGAAGGACCCCGCTTTGAAACCATCCAAAAAAGCAGACAGCCGGCCTCAGTCGGCCCTCATCCTGCACCCCCAGGGCACGACCACAGCTGGAACGCCAACCTCATCAGTGGACATCAAAGGTCTCACCGTTGGGAACAGGGGAGGCTCTCCAGCCCACGGTGCTGCCAAAGACAGGCCTGTCAGCATGTTCATGGAGCGAAGGGAAGGTCAGGCGGGGACGGCGCTGGAGTCACGGTGCAGCTCCAGGCTGGCTCCCGACCCCAGGGATGTCCCGGGCAGCCCTTTCTCTAGGACAGAGCGCCTCCGGCAGCCCCGAGCGCCACACCAGGCCACCGAGGAGACGAGGGCAAGCAGCATGTTCTTCACACCGAAAGATAATCCCTTCGGCCTCCAGTGAGTAAAAATATGATGGGATTTCCTTGTAGGCCTTTGTTGGGTAAAGTGGTCTCTGGCAGAATGTGGTCTGGAGATTGGAAAAAAAAAAAAAAAAAAAAAAAAAAAAAAAAAAGCTGTTGAAACAGACCAGGGTCAGATTTTTTGATCTTAAAACAGTGAGTGGGCAGAAATCAGGGGACGAAGAAAAAGAGCTTGAAATGCTATTTCTAAGTCTTCCATGTGTTGGGCATTATATAAGCCAGGGGAGATAATCATAGCTATTAGCAGGTGAAAGGTGTTAATAGCAAGAGAGAGTTGACACTTGTTTCATTTACCCTAAGTATGAACAGTGATATGGGTTTCTTTTGAAAGGTAAAAAATTGAAAGGAAAAAATCAAAAGAGCAAAAGATTTTTTGGGTGGCCAGAGCAGGAATGACTAGACAAGTAAGAATATTTCTGGATTTTTCTTGCTAATTGTAGAATTAAAATAATCAGCAAAGGTGATTATACTATTGCTGAGAAAAAACAGCAACTGCCCAAAGGGAGTTTAGGATGTGGATGCACTTTGCCAGTGTATCACTTGCATAAAAAGTTACACATGTAATGGGCTTAGTAGTCTTTAACGGTCAGTAAAAATACTCCTTTATCCCCGATAGAGCCTGCAGCATCCCATGAGCAGGAAGGCAGTGGAGGGCTTTATGGAGCCCTCACCCATGGACATGGTAGAGTTTTGTTCAGAAATGGTGGCAGAAAGAGTGAGCTGAGCAAAGAGCAAGTTAAATGGGAATGTTTTTGAATGCTGTGTTAGATGCAAAGTGAGGATGCTCTCCTTCTGAGCCAGTTTAGTTGAAATCTGCAGGAGGTCCCAGAGAATTGCTTTGGAAGTAAGTATTTGAGAACAGTCTTCTCCCCATGCTCCTTTCAGTTTCTTTTTCCTTGTTAATGCACAGAACAAGCAAGAGAAAAAGGAAAAATATATCAAAAATCCTCATCTTTAGTTTTCCTGGAACTTAAAAATTTTAATGTTCCAACAGAGCAATCACTTTTCAGAATACAGAACTGGAAAAATACCATCAGTAACCACCATGAAGGGTAGAGTGCAGCTCTGGCAAGAAGAAATTCATATCTTCTTGCCCTTTGGTATTAAGTCAAATCCTGAAGAATTTGAAGCGGTTCTGAAAACCTGTGACCTCAAACAGTGATTTCTTCTTGATTGCTCGGGCTGCCTACTTCTATGTTGCTGAGAGCTGGGCTGGCGCGGTGGGAAAGCTTTTAGAGAAAATGAAACGTCTCTGTTTTGTTGCCTTTCAGCAGGGAAGCAAGTCATCAATGCCTTCCCAAGGGTGAGCTAACTAGGAAGCCATTTAAGATGCCTGGGTCTGGCAGAGGAGAGGTAAGTTGCAGTTTTCTTATTTTCTCTTTTAATTGAAAAGGGGAAAAAAAAAATCCCAAACCCTTATTCTGCCAGCTTTCCCTCAAGTGCTTTGGAGAAGAGAAATATAAAGCACAAGGGTTGCGCAGGGCTCTTGGGGATGGGGGGGATGTCACACTAAGGCAACTTTCACACCTTCTCTTGAAAAAAGCCCCCGTAGCATTAATGTGCAGCAGCACAGAATTGCTCTGGATGAAAAGGATCTTGCAGTCCTGATGGCAAACACTGTAGTACGCAGTCTTGTCTTGTTTGCTTTAATGTCCATTTTAGTAACATCCATTATTGTCCCATTTTCTCCGTGCTGTCTTGGCTTTTGTTTTCCTGGTTGTTTTTGCACTACATGTAATAGTGTGTGTCCTCTGTGGAGTGCAGTGTTACTCAGCGTTGTTGTAAGGCTGTACTTGAGCTACGCTATGATGCCAAACACTGGTAGAATCTCCTTTTATAGAATCTCCTTTTATTTTTAAAACCTTTTTTTTGTTGTTGTTGTTATGTTTTATCATTTGGTCAAGCAGGTTCCCAGACCGACCCATAAAAAGAAAGCCCGCATGGCGCGGACGCGCTCCGATTTCTTGACTAGAGGTACTTTTGCTGATGGGGAGGGGGATACGGAGGAAGATGATTACGATGGCAATTTTGAGTTCCTTCTCTCCTCTGACCAACCTCCTCATCCTGAGACAGGGCCTGCAGCCCGGCTCGGGCAGGCCTGTTACAGTGACTCCGAAATGGTAATTTTCCAACGTGTTGGGGCTGGAAAAAAAAGGGAGCAAGCAGATCTGCGGGAGCGTTTCTTTGCTAACCTTAGCTGCACGGATCCTACACTGCTTCTTCTCCCACTCACACAGATATTGTAGATGGGTAAACTCGGAGAACACAGCAGAAATGAGTACAAAACAGAAAGGGAAATTATTTGAATTTCTGTCAGCCATGGGGATGTTTGCTGGCATGATTTAAGAGAAGCTTCCATGGTTTCCATAAGTTTTAGGTAGCATTGCAACTCATTGCACAGCTACCTTGTTTGTTTTTTTTTTTTAAACTAGGATTACCTCCATTACAAAATCCCACTAGGATCCTTTGGCTCTAGCAAAATTATCTACAGAAATGCATAGAAAAAATCAAGGCAAACACTGGACAAAAAAGTAACAGAACAAAGAAAACAATATGAACCTTGCACCTCCTATAATTTTTGATTTGGTATCCTTACCTAGGGTATCCAATGATTATTCAGTCCTCAATTATTGGAGTAATACTGGCAGATGCTGTCTTTGAGAAACAAAAACCTGTAAATTGGGCAATAAAACATTGTTTGTTTGTTTGTTTTTAAAAAAGAGAGAAAAAGCATGTTAGTGGTTCTGTCAGGGAGAAATGGCAGCCTGGATAAGCTGTGTTCAGAAAACCATGAACTGAGAGGTTTCAGGAGTGGAAGAGGACAGAAACTTCCACCTCTCTCCCAGTTTTTCTGTGGCAGGAGGTGGCAGAGGTGTCCACATAGATGTACGGATAAACCCACAGCAGTGTCTCGTGCCGTAAGTGCTCACATTGCCAAAGATCCAGCAAATATCTCATGTGATCCTAAAATCTGCCTTTGCAAGAAAGGCAGATGGCTAAGGAGGGCTTTTCGTGACTTTTCTGTTAGCAGTTCTTATTATAAACAACACGTTTTTCCTCACTGGGAAGGAGCAGAGTTTCACAAATTCCCTGAATTTTTAAGGTTACTCATGATAAATTTTCAAGGGTTTTGAGCCAGGAATACTTCAAGTGCTATCCGGCAGAAATGTGATTGAAAGATGTGGCTCTTTGAACTGAACTCACTTGGCTGTGTTTTAGTTCATCTCCCTGTTTTTATAACAGGAAAGGGAGAATTTTACAGAGGAGTAATATCAGGACCAGCTTTTATTTTTTGTCCCCTATTTGACGAGAAGTCAGCTTAAATAAATTTGCACATGCAAATACAGTGCCTCCTATCCTACACCTTTACTTTCTACTTGAGGCACGTATTTGAGGACACAATGAGAAAGAAAATGTTCAACCCCCCTACACAAAAGAACCAAAGACTCTCCATTAAGATGGGGGAAAAAAAAATAGGGAGGAACAGGAAGCCAAATCTGGAGGTGTAGGTCCAAAACCAGCTGTAGACCTGTAGGAAAGCCACACTTGCCTGGCGTGTCCCTCTGTAAATGCTTGGTGTGTGCAGCCAGGAGCCCAAGGGAGCCTTGGCAAGAAGGCAACAAACTTATCCATGATTGATGCTAAATGCCAGCATTTTCATCTGGACTTCCTTCTGCCACAGTCTCACTGTCTGGTCAAATGGCACATGGACCTGGTCCCTGGAAATGCTGGAAGCAGCAGCTCAAAAACGTGGCAAGAGTCCTGGGCTTTGCCATGCTGTGTTCCTGGAGGCTACCCTGTTACAAAGCCCTAGTTTTTTAGCCGTAGAAGTCTTTTCCACTGGCAATCTCTGCTGAGACGCGAAAGGTGCTGGGCTAACGCTTGGGAATCTCCATCCTTGGGAGGGACCTGGCTCATCCCACTCATTAGAGATGCTCCTGGGCCTCTGCTCACCTGGGTTAACAGCTCTCACTGCATGCAAGTAGTAGTAGGTGCCAACTGTATCGTCTCTCCTCCTGTATCCCTCTTCTCTGCGCTCCATCACTAGCTCTAACTGGTGGTCAGGCTTAGCCAGCGGTTTCGCCTTGACGCAACCCCTTGTGCGGTTGAGTTCTGCTTTCTAGCAAATGTTGCTCGTAAAGTTGTGTGCCCAGTGGTATCGTATGTCTGTATGTCTTGACCACATGTACAGTGTTTCCGTCTGTATTCTGTATTGCAGGTTTGGGACCAGCTCTTTGGCTTGTGGCTTCTCTGTGTTAGGATCGCCACACCCGTAGGGCAGAGCTCTTTAAAGCAGCAAAATCCAGGGCTGCTTATTCATATTTATTAGCAGAGCCTGCTCGGGTGTTGCAAATGATGAAGCAGCCTATAATAGAGCAGTACTGGTGCATGTTGGTTTGGGTTCAAGTAGGTGAATGTGTGTGTAGCCATATCCCTCGTGTCTTGTGATGCTCACATGAAGACGCGCCAGGCAGTCACCACACGCAGGCTGATTGCCCTCCTAGTGAATAGTTTATTCATAGGGTTCCTGCCCCCAGCTACAGCTATCCAAAAAGCCTCTTTTGATGTGCTGCTCGATGGCCGAGGGCTGCTGGACACACAACAGAGATCAAGTGCGACTTTGTGAAGTTAAGCATGTGATGAGTCTCCAGCTGTGCTGTGTGAACCCGGCTGTTTGACCCTTTGGTTTCACGACCACCGAGTCAATGGTTGAGTGTCACCAGCTGGTACTTGCAGGCCCACCGGAGACTGATGCTCCTGACCTAAGTGCAGGGTAGCCCAGAGCATCTTCAGCCAGAGCTGAAGTCCAAGGTGCACCAGTATATAAATTGGCTGCTTCAGGTACAGTTATCTGCAAAGAGCCGAAGTGTGTTTAAGGATGAAGGGCTTCCTGACGAGACCAAGCCTTCAAAGGTTGCCCGAGCTTTTTGGCAAAGTACCTGCCTTGCAGTGAGAAAAGTGGGAGGAACAGTTCCTGGCTGTGGTCAGTGCATATTAATAGCGGTTGTGTTTTGCACCTACGCCTGGAGAACTTCCCTCCAGCTGATAGAAAGAACGCCTTGGTTAAAGAAACCACACCAGAAATACCTTCTGCATATATTTCCCTTCAGCAAAGGCTCTTAGAGAGGGCCCTGGATAATGAAGTGGTGATGTATTTTGCTCCAAACTCCGTACTAAAGCCATGAATTGACTAACAGCAGTCTGAGGATCTGTCATTTGTCACCAGCTGATCCCAAGCATCCCTGAAGAGCCAGCCATGGAAGAAGAGCTCTTGTCCTCAGCTGTTCAGAGGCAGTGTTGCACTTTAGGAAGCCCTTCAACACAGCACGTAGCACTGCTGCCTGCTGGGACAAGTCATCTCACTTGGCCTCTTTTTAGCATGGGCAAACAAAATACAGTTTGTTCTTTCAGAGTTAAAAAAAAAAAAAAATGTTCCCCTTTTGCTCCATGGGATGACTACAGACCCCCTGGATATCGTGGTTCGCACGCACATGGTGCTTTGTGGTGTTCCCTGCATGGAAGAGGTCTTGTCTTGGGAGCTGAGAAGGTTTCCCATCCAGCTGAGGACCTTGCCCTTCGCAACTTCTTGGAGGAGTCCCTCAAACAGAAGGGTCTAATGCCAAAAATGCCTTCGGTCCTTCTTTCAAATCCTGGAGAGTTTGCAGTGGTAGCAGAGGAAACACTGATCTATAATAGATAAAAAATAGGGGCAGAGCTGGGAGAGATTGTAGTGGTAATGGCCAGAGGGTGATGGGGAGATGATGTCTGGTAGGAAGCCTCATCTCCCCACAAAGCCTGCCTTCAGAGAGAGGCATGCAGTCCTTGAGGCGTCTACATGTGATGAAAGTAAGTCCAAAATTTTATCTTTAGTCTTAATGATGAGGCTATGCGCCACTTCCATCCTGTCATATGCTCTGATGTCAGGGAGCATTTCTTCTCCATGGTTTTATTCCACACTGGTAAAGACGAGGGCTGTTTTCAGACCCTATCCATTAACATCCAGTGGGCAGCGATGTCCCTGCTGCGTTTTGCTTTATAAAAAGCCCTTTTCAACAGAATTTCACAGATTTTTTTTCCCCTCTCTACTCTGAAATGCATCCCCTTATCTCCCAGACAAGCCAAGGCAATTCCAGGAAAACATGCCGAATCGCCTGCACAGAGCAATCACGATGTCCATTATGCCTCTGTATTCAAGTACTTCATTATTGCTTGTATTATTTGGCATCCAGTCATTTCTTAGTTGTTTAATTACCCCCAGTCATTTTAACTTTGGTCCTTGGCTCATGGATATATCCCCTTGATGAAGAACAGGATTTGTGGCATGTTTTGATTAATAATAATAAGAAAAAAAAAATCCTTCAGTTTTGTCTAAAAAGCTCATTACAGATGTGATATCATAGGGGCAAATATTTTAATAGGGTCACTGGATGGAAGTCACTTTCATGGGTTTCAAGGTCCTTTTTTCCCTTGCAAGTCTCCACAATTTATATGTAATCATCACCTAAATGTAAGAACAACAGGAATAAGAAACCCTTTGATGAAAGCAGCTTTTTCTTTTGCAGTGGCAGTTTTGCCTTGTGTGCTGCCATCTCCTGGCTGGCAGGGATGTACAGGGGTAAAAAATAAAGAATGGGAGAGGAAGTGTGGTAAATGTGACTGTCCTGCCGCCCATAATTTACTGAATTTTATATGAAATGTTTTTGATGGAGGAAAATGCAATGCTTAAAAGCATGGTGCATTAAACTGAAACATTTAGGTGAAGGGAAAGCTGAAGAAGAGATCTCCCAAATCATTTCATACAGCCTGACTCCCTGCTTTCCTTGTGCTGAAAGGCTCTCTTCCAAGAGCCAAAATGTATTAAATATATATATATATAGCAAGAATATTTCTGGGCTGCACGCTGCCAGGCTGCCTTTGGATGGCTTCCTCCTCCATGCTGGGGAAACAAAGAGAGATTTTAGTAATATTTCCCAAGATAAAAAACGTTGCTCATGTAACACAGTGGTGGAGACTTTGTGAGTGTGTGACAAGAGAGGGACTAAGGTAACATCTCCATTTTTGCTGCCTCTTGGGACGTGTTTTTTGGCTAGCAGCTGCTAGTCATTAAAATACAGCGTCATGGCTGTGGCCTCTGCAGCCTCTGGGGAGAAGAGGAAAGCACCATCGCTTGCCTTGTCTCCTACAGAGTGCAAGATAATAGAAACGGTGCAAAACTTATCATTGTGTAATGCAGAATAATTTAAAGCCACATTTTTAGAATTTAGTAGATATTATTATTCATGGAACCCTGTTAACATTTGATTATTGCAAATTCCTGTCACCCTTAAAAATTATCCCAGGGCATTTAAAGAGGTGACAAAGGCAGAGAGCCTTTGTATTAAAGCTCCTTAATCTCGTATTTCGTAAGGGTACATTTTAATGTGTCCTTGGCACAAAGATTTATTTTTTTCCTTCTGCAAAGTCTCCAACAAAGGCTGAAGGCAGGCTCTGCTGGGATGTGTCCACAAGACTGAGGTGGGGAACACCACAAATCACTTCAGCGTGGCTAACGATCGTAGCTAACGGGGCTCTTCTCGGCCGGAGAGCTGGGCTGCCCAGGGCAAGGTGACTGAGCAGTCCTGTGGGCTTGGTGATTAGAAGGTTGGACTTAGAGATAGAATTTGTGTAAGAGAAATGTCATTTTGTTTTAGAAGCCATTAAAATATTTCTGTAGTTGAAGGAGCTGCAGCTAGCTCGACAGGGACATAGATTTTCACCTGTAGGCAGATAGAAATAGAAATTTCAGTCATAACAGAAGAAATGTCTAATTGTTGCTTAAGGAGTTCTGGAATTCCAAGAACTGTCTCATTTTTGAATGATTCATCCTTGAATTGTTACAGACAGTGCAGCGGTTCACCTCTGGAGAAGGCCAAACAAAACTCCATAAAACCATGTCTCAGGGGGAGATCGGGAAGCTGGCAGCCGCGCAGAAGACCCTGGCCCCAGATGGGAGGTATGGAACGTGGCTGGAGCTGGGGAACGAGTCCACCCCGAGCCCTTTTTGATTTCCTTCACACTGCTGATCTGCACTAGTCCCCAGCTTGGTGGTTTTGTCTCAACCAGCCAAAATCAGAATGAGTTACTCGTCACATCTCTTCATATGTGACCACGAACACTCCCAGTTAGAAGGGGTGATAAAGTTCATGTCACAACAAAGTTTTGAAGCCATATGCCAGGCATCCCATCCCAAACCACCCAACAGCATACATGAAACTTGGAGTTTCCTGCATTTCCTGGGGACAAATAGCCTGATTTTCCTGTTAGCAGTTGTGCAGATTTAGCTCCTACTAAAAGGATGTGAAGGTCTGGGACACTGTAGGTAGTTTTGGCTTGAAGGACATTTTCCCAGCTAAGACAGTTCTTTCCACAAATTATTTCCAGGTCTCAACGAGCCAAGATGAGATTTTGGGTGAAGGGAAAGCAGGGGGAGAAGAAGACCCCTCGGGAGAAGCTTGCTACACAGTCTGAGCTGCTGGAGCTGTACGCAGAGCAAGAAGCACCCAACAGAGAGATGATTTCTGGCTTGCAGCTTGGTGAAGGTGAGTGCTGGGTGAGCACGCAGCAGGGTCATGTGTGTAAGGGACAGAGAAATTGCATTTGCTGTCATGGCAGAGATAAAATGTGTAGCTGTTTTAAGCCTGGCTTTGCACTACCTTTAAGTGTAGCCCCGTGTATGGTGGCTTGGGTTAAGATGTAGAACTGATAAGTTTGTTTATCTGTAGGGTTAGGATACCTGTAAATTAGAATACCATGTATGATCGTATGGTCTAGCTGAGGATGGTGTAGGAGGAAGAGTTGGAAAACTGCACAAAAAGAAAGAACGTGCTGTTTAACGTCTCTTGACTTCATGGGTGACATGAACACGAAACAGCAGTCAGGAAGTTAGAAGCTAGGGCACAAAATGGGTCTGGAGAAATTCAGAAAACATTCAGAAAAGATAGTATGCGGCAAACCAAACAAATACTATTTCTTTCAAAATTTCTATGAAGTTTTACAAGTAGGGATTGTCGCTTTGTTCTGGGAGGCAGGGGACGAGGACAGAGGACAAACTCTTCTCCATGACCGCCTGAAGCCAGCTGTGTGCTGTCACCAGCACCTTCCATCTTCCACTGTGGAGCTAATCCTCCAGGCAGCCGTCTGGACACCAGCAGATGTTTCCCCTCTTGATAGAGGAAGTAACCAATGGAGAAGTGACATTTAATCTTCCTATAAGCACTGCACAGTACTTTTCTCCTCTGCAGGTTTATTCCACAGCCTGTCTCCTTATTTTAGTGACAGGACTATTTTTCCTTTGTGCTACCTTCCCATCTTACTGCCGGTGCAGCTCTGGGAGATGACACTAGATTTTTTTTTCTTACTGAGAATTCATCTGGAGCCACAGAATTTTATTATTACCTGAGAACAAACCCTACTTCTCTTTCACGCCATGCATGGAACATGGGGAAAAAGCATTTTTATTGCTTACAGCTTCATCTCACTTAATTCAGGAGATGCTGAAAAGCAAAACGTATTGCAGAGCTTCAGTGAAATCAAATACCAAACAATCATTGCTACAGCATTTTTGGTCAGGCAGAGAGCAAGTTAACTAATCTGCATTTTGTTCTTTTTCTTCTTTATCAATTACCACCCGTAGAGTTGGGTCCTCACCATCTGACACCCCCGCGGAGTCCTGAGCTGTCAGGAATCTACCGGAGGGAATTTAAGGAGAACAAGGAGCCCTCTCCCAAAGTGAAACGCAAGCGCAGCGTCAAAATCAGCAACGTGGCTCTGGAGCCCGTGCAATGGCAGAATGACTCCCTGCAGATCATAACCAGTGCTAGCGACCTGAAAAGCATGGATGAGTTTCTCCTGAAAAAGGTAATGCCTGTCATTGCTGCTACAACTAAATCATCAGAGAGTGGATGGAGGCAACAAAACAGTGTTATCTTGAAGGCAACAAGGTGAAATTTATAATCCACCTAGGGGAGAGCTTTAGGTGCACTCCCAAAACTGCGAAGAGTGCACAGTGTGCACCAGGGCAGGCTTGGGAGAAAAGATGGGTGCATTGTGCGTGCACAGCACGGTTGTTTTATGGGAGCACAGCAGCTTTGGTACTTCCACTGCTTTGAGCAGCCCCTGGTGGCATCAGAAACGGGTGACCCAAGAGGGCAGAAGCTGAAGGCTCCAGGGAAGCGTTCATGTTTTTACGTGCTAAGTTTGCACGCAGGAGAAACCGCCTGGTAGACACACGTAGTTATTAACATCACCTGCCCGTGGTGGAGCAGCTGCTCATTTAGTAGTGCTCCACCTAATGCAGTGCTCTGCCACAGCACAGTCACATCGGTGCATAACACCCTTTGGTTTCTTCCCAGATGAATGAGCTGGATAATGAGGACAGCAAGAAGGACACGCTGGTGGATGTAGTGTTCAAGAAAGCGCTGAAGGAATTCCGACAAAATATCTTCAGCTTTTACTCCTCGGCATTAGCGGTAAGTGCCTGGATGGCAGGTGGGAACTTCCACTTCCAGGAGAAATGAGATGCTGTGAGTCTTGGTGGTAGAGATGTTGCTGAGCCTTATTCCTGGTCTCCTTATCCCAAAAGGAAGATGCTTTTCCTTTGTATTCAGTCCCACAAAGCTGTAAACTTGGACTAATGCTTCCTCGTTAGCCAGCTCTCAGTATACTTTGAGAAGAGATTTCTAGTCCCTTCAGTACAGCTTGCTGTCAGTCAAAGGGAGATGACAGTAAATCAATAAATTCCCATTTGCCACCCAACTTGTCTGGAAACCTGTGGGTTAAAGTTGTGAGTTGTGAACATCTGAGGAATGTGGTGCTCTGCTCTTCTGCTGCTCCGAATCCTAGCAGTGATTGCTGAGCCAAGCCATTTTATTGTCCAGATTGCGTGAGAAGTTCCCTCTGTGGTAATATTTGGTCTGTCATTTGACGTGGCTTACAGCAGCTGCCTAGATTTCTGTCCTTATACTCTGTGCGCTGAGAAGCCACCCTGACAAAGGTCACGAAACAGCTCTCCATTAAATACTTTTTTTCTTTCTTTCAATCATAATTGTATTTTCCCCGAGCAGTTGGAAGCCAGTCAAGCTAAAATAATTGTCTGGAGCAGAAGAGGCAGTCTGATGTGTATAAAAATCCCTTTTCTTTTTGCTTCTGTTTCTATAAAAGATGGATGATGGGAAAAGCATCCGCTATAAGGACCTGTACGCCTTATTCGAGCAGATCCTTGAGAAGACCATGAGGCTTGAACAGAGGGACTGGAGTGAGTCTCCAGTGAAAGTCTGGGTCAATACCTTCAAAGTCTTCCTGGATGAATATATGTTAGAGTACAAACCCCTGGACTGCACCGCAGTGAAGGTAGCCAGCATTTTCTCAAGGTCCTTTAAGATTTGTGAGCTCTCTTTGCTGTCTTCAGGGACCACCCCCGGGTCTCAGGCTGGGCTTGGGAGATGGTGTTTCTTGTGGAACAGGGAAAGCAAATATCCCACTCTCCAGCTCTTCTGCTGTGAGTCTCTGCACAGGATTTCTTCTGAGCAGGCTGAGCATCAGCTCCGGCTGCAGTGCTGTGCCCTTGGGTGTCTTGCCTGAGATCGGAGAGCTTTAGGTCACAGGTGCTGGACTTCAAGCCAGAGCAGCAGCTAATCCCAGCTCTGAGATGGAGACGGTGACAGTTGGCCAGGGGATTTCTGAATGCTGGGTAGTTGGTTGCAGTAGGAGCATTTCTTGGAGTGGTTTTCATGGGGCCGCAGGTGCACTGGAGGATGGGGCTGGAAAGAGGTGGAAAAAGTTAGATATGGGACCTCTGCGGGCTTTACGTGTGGGAACTGCCCATAAACATGCTTGACTCTTTTTAATACCAGGTGCCAAAAACGGAACGAAAAAAGAGAAGGAAAAAAGAAGCGGATGTGGTGAGTTGAGCACTCTGGGTCTGTGCGTTAAAGAATTAATGTCCTTTTGGCCAGGATTACAAGTGATAGGAGACCTGCTCATGATATATCCTATGGTGAGATCTGAACATCCCAGCCCAGTGAATGTGCAGACTTGCAAAGATGTGCTAGAAAGATGGACAGGGTAGATTTACTTTGCTTGTGAATGGCTGTAGGCAAAAGCAAGAGGTTGTAAATCAGCATTTCTGTTCAGATCAAGGACTGGTGTAGGTTGTTCTCTGAAAACATGTCCCACATCTGTCAAGGCAGTAAATATGTCAGGAATTATTATAGAAGAACTGGGAATGAAGCAGAAAGTGTTGTTCTGGGTTTCTGCGTAAACTTAGCGCATATCTTATATCTCTGATAGAGTTTTTGCCTAAAAGATAGAATAGCACGGGGAAAGATGCAGAGCAAAAAGGGGCCATGGAGGTATAGAAGAGCTTTTCAACATGGAGAGGTTGACCTGTCAACCACAGTCAAATGCAGCTGGTTTCTAACCTGCTTGCAAGGAGGTTTGTCTCCCATGCAGGCTGGATTTTTGTCCGAGCAGCCCATGGGGTTATTGGTCCAAAAAGGAAACACAAATAGCAGGCTGGTTCTGTGTAAAAGCCCACATTGGAGAGCAGGCCATGTCGGGCTCCCTGTTTTGCAGCAGACTGCATCCAGCTCTTTTTCTCACCACTGAATCTTTTTCATCGCAGGTGGAAGAGCACAATGGGCACATTTTTAAGGCGACCCAGTACAGCATCCCCACCTACTGTGAATATTGTTCTTCCTTGATCTGGATAATGGACAGGGCTTCTGTTTGTAAATGTAAGCATGCTCCATTCGGCTTTTTTTTGCCATGTATTTCTGTTATAGTCTTGGGATTTGGGGCTCTGAAAGGTGTTTGCTACTGTTTTCTATAACCCCACTCTCAAATATTTGGGATTTTCACATTAAAATAGCTTTTGAGACAGATCTTAAGGATTTCTGAAGTCCGCTGTTAAGTTCATACTGGCATTCCTTCCAGAACCTACATTATGGTTAGTTCTGTGCATGGGGGCTTTGTGTAACCGATCTTAACCCAAGTCTTCAAACTGTTCAAACCATGTTTAAGTTGTGCTTTCAGAAGGGATGGTAAAGAAAGCCTGTGGCAGGTATGGCAAATGTACCCCATGGCTTCAGCCTGTGGGATGGATGCTGTGGGTCTCATGACCATCACAAGGTCACTGGGCTTAGGCCATTTGACCTCTGGCTACTTGAACTTTTGGGGAGCCCAGGAAAGTCGAAGAAGAACAGGCAAGGTTGAGACTTTTTTTTTTAATTTTATTTTTTTCAATGATTCTCTTATTAAGTTGAAAATATCAGCCCTGTGGTGCTTCAGGCTGGTATCCAGTGCAGGAAGAATACAAATTAGGTGCTCTTTCCAACCTCTGAGTTATATCCATGTCTGATAGCTCAGAGTGACTCATGGGCTATTTTCTGAGTTGATCTGTCAGGTTGTGTTTTTTTGTGTTTTTTTTTTTTAACATTTCAGGGACTTAAATATAGGGCCTTTAAAATTAAAGGCTTCTTTTTCTTTTTTTTTTTTTTAATTTGAAGAATGCAAATTCAACATGCTTTCGACATGCACAAATCCTAAGAAGAGCTACTTAATTCGTATTTGTGCAGAGGTCTGAAGTTTTGAATTATTAAAAACTATTTTTTCTTTGTTGTAGTATGTAAATATGCTTGTCACAAGAAGTGCTGTCTTAAAACCACGACCAAGTGCTCCAAAAAGGTAAGTTTTTCTCATTCCTTTTCTCTCATTAAATACCTCTCTGACTGTCATCTCAATCTTTTTTAGTCTTTTTTAACAATTGCTTATGAGCACAGAACTTGGTACAATGCTTGCAATAACCCTTCATCGAGAGAAGGTTGAGCTGGAGCTCCCTGGAGGTTTCTCCAACCACTGCTTTTGTGACTGCTTGTATTTCAGTAGTAGTACAGAGATGCATTAAGATAGACATCTGCCCAGTCATGCAGCACCTCTTGCAGTGATGTTCCTGGCTTGTAACCATGCTGAATAATTGAAAGCTGCCTCATTTTATAGCTTTCGAGCACTTCAAAATGTGGTTGGTATCAAAAGGTAACATTTTTGAACAGTCATTGCTACACAGAGAATTCTCAATGTCCAGCACATTTCATGGCACGCATTTTTTTTTCGTTCTGTGGTGCTGCAGTTTTGGCTGCCATGATTTTATGTTTATTCGTAGAAGGTCAGGATGCGGCCGGTGGGGTTCTTGCAATCCCACAGCCAGAAGCATAACCTGCTACAGCACCCGCAGCCCTAATTTTGCAAGGCTGAAGCATTTGTTCCCAGTACAAAAGGCAAAAATACAGGTTGTTCTTCACCCTGCTGCTCCCTGATAGGGCTCCCTGCACAGTCCCCAAACAGCCACGGCACTGCAGCTGAGGATGAGGACAGCAAGAGGAGAAGGGTGGGTGGATGGTGCTGAAGCACTTACTCTGCTCATTAGAGGTGAATTAAGTATTGTTTACCGCATTCAGGGATATGTTTGACAGTGAATGAATGCAGCAGGTCGCCCCAGCTAACAATGAGTCATCAAGCTTTCTTTTTTTGTTTTGAATAGTTTATTTTGTGCTGCATATGCCCCCGAAATAATAATGCAGGCAGGATAATAATGTGTACAAAGCTTTTTCAGACCCTAAGAGGCTTCTCAGGTGTACAGTCTCCATAAAGCCTTATGATTGCATTTTTCCCAAGGAATAATCTGAATATATATATGTGAATGTGCATATATATATATATATGTATATATGAATATATTTGCTTTGATACAATATTTCTTCTGCAATTTCTCTCTTTCTGGCAGTCCATCTCTGTAAGAGTTGGGAATGGGTTCTCTGAGGTTTTGTTCTACAAATCTGTGAAGTTTAATGAGATCACTTGATTTTTTCAAAGACGTTCCCTTGCGTGTTTTTAGACCTTTTGCATCTGTGATTTGAGATCTGAACAACCGAGCCTCCTCTTTACAGGGAGGAGACCTCTAGGCTTTGCTAGATGCCTGTTTCACAGGCTGGTCCTCATGCTCTTGGGTCTGCAGTCCAAGCCCATCATCTTGGCCATGGTTCCATCACACCCGCCCAGAAATGAAGCAGGAAGGGAGTTGAGGCCATGAAAATTTTTCAGGACAATAGGGGACTTTTGCAGGAAAATAGCACTATCTGAAGTGAGTTTCGTATTTCAATGTTGTGAAAGAGATACTGATGTATTTGCCTAAGTTGATCTTTCAGTCCTTTTTTGTTCCTCTCTATGAAAAATGAAACCTAAAAATAATTGCAGCTCTAAATGGTTGTTCAGAGATGCTTGGAACCTTCTCATTTCCTGTTTTGTTTTGTGTTTTTTTTTTTTCTCTGCACAAGAAAGTTTTTGTACTGTCTTCAAGAAAATAAATTTACAGTGTCTCTGTTTGGGCAGTTTGAGGTCCTCCTGTAGGAAGGCTCTGGCTTGTCTGTGCTTGGTGGATTAACGTTTTTAGGGTTGTTTTCAGCAACAGAGTGCCACAAACTGTGTAGTATGCTTTAAGAAGGATGTCTTTGTTTTCCGGCTATGGCCGATTTTGTAACTGCTTTCTAACCTTGTCCCAGAGTGGATCTGTTTCTCTAGATTTACAGTGGTGAGCTTGAGCAAATCCTGAGCTCATTTCTCTTGGTGGACGTGGAACTGCTTTTGCCCTTGCTTTGTCCATGTCTCTGAGTTACTTGTCTTCCCACTGGAGTGAAGAAGCCTGTAGCATTTGTGGCGTCACATCTGATGGTGGTTTTGGCAGCCAAATGGGCTGGTAGAAGAGCAGACTATGAATTTCAGCTGGTAGCTGGGACTAGATGTTCCCCACCTGTTGTTTCCTGGGGCATTTTCACTGCAGAACATACCATGGTCATCTTCCTCACATCATCTCATGAGGTTGATAATGTTTTCTTTGATGAAAGGATGACATTGAATGGGAAAAGCAAAGGTGTAGGAGTGGTTGTAAGAGGAGCTGTGACCTGTTTCAGGGTCATCTTGCTCATCACTGCATTGCAGTGCGTGCTGTCTCACATTCCCTTTGCTGGTACTGGGTATTTGTGTCAAAATTTTGTTAGGACTGCTTTGTGCATCATCTTCAGGCAAGTGAAGTCATTCCTGGAGATGGTGCCGGAGGGGCAGGAGATGAGAGGAATATGCCCAGCGGCTAAGAACACTGTAACCACTGTGTGGTGGTTAAATGAAGAAAACCCAAATGTTTATGACTTCAGGTGCATGCCCAGAGTCTGATTTTGTGTTGCAAGCTGGGACTGTGCACATTTGTGAGGCTGCTGGTAATAGCAAAACAACAGGTTGAGGTTAAGGTCCAGGGGTGTCCTGTCCTCCTTTGCTTGTGACTTGCAGGTAAACTGGATGGTTTGAAACAGCCTGAACATTGACACGTTGCTTTCTGGAAGGAATTCTGGAAGGAACTGAAAGAATTCAATTCTTTTGCGTTTTTCTCTTCCCCGTCAGTATGATCCCGAGCTCTCATCTCGGCAGTTCGGCGTGGAGCTGTCCCGGCTGACCAGCGAGGAGCGAGCTGTGCCAGTGCTGGTGGAGAAGCTGATCAACTACATAGAAATGCATGGGCTGTACACAGAGGGCATTTACAGAAAATCAGGGTCCACCAACAAGATCAAGGAGCTGCGGCAAGGACTTGATACAGGTAAAAGGGAAAAACGACAGAAGACCTGGCTTGTTCTTTTTGGGTGCAACACAGAAAAAAATTATAGTTGAGGGAAAGCTCTGTCTTAGAAATGGTGCCAGCAAGAAAAGAAGTCCTGATACCACCCAAGGTTTCTTGCCCTGGAAAATGTGTTTTCCTCTAGTCTTAACCTGTAAAGCTGAAATCAGATGCCAGATTTCCTGCTGCTGAATGCAGTGTGGTGGCACATGGATGTTTTCTGTCATAGAGGTATAGCTTACCCACACACTGCCTTCTCTTACAGCTTAATATTGATCATTATCTCTTGTTTCTGTGCCTTCTTCTCAATGCACTGCTGAACCCCAACGAACAGACATTGATAATGTGAATTTAGATGACTACAACATCCACGTCATTGCCAGTGTCTTCAAGCAGTGGCTCCGAGACTTGCCCAACCCTCTCATGACCTTTGAGCTGTACGAGGAGTTTCTGCGGGCGATGGGTAAGGAACATCCTTTGCCACTGAAAGAGGGTAGATTTAGACTGGGTATAGGGAAGAATTTTTTCACTCTGGGCAACATCTTCCCAGGTCTCACCACCCTCAAAGAAGTTGTGGAGCCTCCCCCCCCCATCCCTGGAAGTGTTCAAGGCCAGATTGGATGGGGCTTTGGGCAACCTAGTCTAGTGGGAGGTGTCCGTACCCGTGGTGAGGCATTGGATAAGGTGATCTTTAAAGGACAGATCATCTCCAGATCATCATTTCCTAAGGGAAATGTCAGCTGCTTTATGTGCCTAATTCTTTACTTGCTCTTCAGTCCCAAAGCATCTGATTTTACCCAGTCTTATTTGTCCAGTTTCAAAGTCTGTTTTTTGCTGTAAGGGTTTGTTTGCTTTGTTTTTACTCAAAGACACAAGCAGTTAAGCCCTGTGTATGGTAGCATCCATTTCCATCAGAGTTCAGCAGATTTCAACCTGCTATCCAGGTCTGTCTTTTAAATGGTGATGGTAAGCATGAAGAATGAACCATTTTAAACAGGAGAAAGAAGTAGAAACGTATTATTTTTAGCAGTACAGTATGCTTTACAGCTCCCGGCTCTAAGAAACAACCCTTTCAAAAAAAAATAAATAAAAAATGAGTGTGTTTGAGAGCGTGCCAAGTGCGAGGAGGGCAGAGAGAACCTGCTGAGAGAGGAATGAGGGGGAGGAGAGCCCTTGCTGCAGCCCCCATGGCTTGGAGATGTCTTACTGGTGGCGGGGGCTGCAATGAGGCCTCCAGCAGTGCCCGTGACAAGGCTGTTGTGTTCTCTGCAGGCCTGCAGGAGAGGAAGGAGACGGTGCGGGGAGTCTACTCAGTCATCGACCAGCTCTCCCGCACCCATCTGAGCACCTTGGAGCGCCTCATCTTCCACCTCGTCAGGTACACGGGACCGGTGGGGAGGCTGCAGCTCCTCATTGCCAGTGGCAGAGGCAAAGGAGCTGCCTTTATCCCTGGCTTCTCTAGTAATCCTTGTATTTTTTTTATTTTTTTTTAGGATTGCCCTCCAGGAAGAGACCAACCGAATGTCAGCTAACGCCTTGGCCATCGTCTTCGCTCCCTGCATCCTCCGCTGCCCTGACACGACAGACCCACTGCAGAGCGTTCAGGACATCAGTAAAACAACCACGTAAGGATGTGGCGCTGGGCGGGATGGTCCAGCTCCTGCTCTGTGGCTGTGGCCACGTCACCACTTACGACTCAATAACCTTTAGTACCGTCAGATGGCTCAGAAATAGAGAGCTTTAGCCTGGAAATGACAAACACTGTACAGCTTTGCATATTAACTGCATCTTAAGGAAGTATTTAATGTTTTCTCAACAGCCAAGCGGTGGTTAATGGGGATTATTAAGGAAGGGAGGATCCACCAGAGCAGATCAACTCGCTCTCCAGGATTTTAAAACATGCTCTCTCCATCCTTCATGCCCAGCAGATCTTAGCAGGAATAAGTGGAGTTTGTGCTGATGTGGTTAATCTCATTTAGACAACTAAGTCTTTATTCTTACTTAATTTGCTGGGATTTTGTTTGTTTGTTTGTTTGTGGTTGTGTTTTTTTTTGAGAAGAAGATGAGTTTTTTTGGTAGGCAGCAATACTGTCTACTTAGATTTCTTTAAGGTATTTGACATAATTGCAAAGGTTTTACAAAAAGTGAAGCACTTGCACAAATTCAGCCTGTCTCACTAAGTAGATTTAAAAATGGATAATGGAGACATTTGAGATGAACTGTAGTGGGAAACCATCCGGTGAAGGGCTGGGCTACTGAAAGAGGTTTTTAGCCTCCAGTTAAGTGTATTAAAATTGTTGAAGACCAGAATGTGCTTGGAGACCCACCTCGTAGGACCCTTTTTGGCCTTAAATACCAAAAACATTCCCACTAGACTCCCCTGCCTACCTCTGAGTGAGTTTGAATAAATCTCCTAAACTTGTCCCAGCAAGGGATTTCATTGTATTTTCTCTTGTAGACTTCAGCTATAGCACATCCTCTAATTTTATTACATGGAAAGTTTTTTTTCCCCAAACACGATCCCAACAGCATTAAAAAGTCAGCTCAGACAGCTAAATGAGCTTGTGTTGCTGCGTTACTGTCTCAGCTGCATGCAAACAAGTCTGTGTGCGTTTGCAGCCCAGAAGCAACCTGCCTTTCACAGGTTTGCATCTTCCTCTCCTTGTCCCATCTCTCCCTTCCCAGGGCAGGAGTTTCTCTGCTTTAACCCTTGGGGGTCTTTAATTCCCCTAGTCCAAGTTCCTTGGTCCATCCGAAGTCCTTTACTGCCCTTTTTAGGAAATTTCCTTGGGTTTTTCCATCCTTGCACGCTGGAGCTCTCAAGCAAGGCAGATCTTTGTGCCAAGCAGGGGCAGCTCAGATAAAATTCGTTCTGACACCAATTTTGTCTTTTCGTTACCCTCAGCTGCGTAGAACTAATTGTCATCGAGCAGATGAACAAATACAAGGCTCGTCTCAAGGACATCAACAGCCTGGAGTTTGCTGAGAACAAAGCCAAGAGCCGCCTGTCCCTGATCCGCAGGTCGATGGTGAGACGCTGCGCCCGTCCCTGCTGCTCACGGACTTGTGTCCCCTTCCCTGCTCCAAGGGAATTTGCAGCCAGGAGGAGATCAGGTGTTCCCGTGGTGTGTCTGTCACAGCCCCGGAGGATTTCTGTCTTGCAGCAGGGAAAGTCAGACCTCCCTCTGGCTCTGACGCTCTCTTCTCTCCTGTCCTCTCCTTTCACTCAAAACAACCCTGCCTTACCTCCCCCTGCTTATTCCAGCCTCCCTGCCCCCTTGCACCTGCCAAACCATCCCACCCCAAGCAGCACAGGACCCGTGCCCAGCCCTATGGCAGCTCCCCGGGTTTTCAGGGAATTACACAAAAACAAGAGTCCAGCAAAGGTGATGGGGAAAGTCTGCCAGAAGCCTGAGAGAAGGCACCGTGGAGATGTAGTGGCTTGAGCTCAGAGGCTCCTGGTTATATTTCAGGCATTATTTTACACACTTGAACAACTGGGTCCTACGTTGAATCAAGCCTTTGTTTGCCCTCTGCTTACAACCACCTCACTGTCACCCCATGCACAAACACCGGGGAGACCTGGACCGAAGCAACCCATAACCACGGCCTTGCTTCGTCCTCTTTTTGGTGCAGACGAGCTCAGTAATGCTATCCAAACCCAAACCGAGCTCCCTCAAGGCTCCTGAACCATCTCATTGAGCTTCCATGCTTCTGGGGTGAGCGACGGCAGGGTCTGGGTCCGTCTCGCTCCGGCACACCAGCGGGCTGCCGACACGCGCTACGTTTGGCTTTTTGGCTGTGGGATCAGGACAGACTTGGCCTGGGTTCATGCTACGGGGCCGAGCTGCCCGCTGTTGCCCTTGGGGCATTTCTGACCACGGGTGCTGCTTCTGGGACTAAGCCCAAGCAATTCCCGGAGTCGTTTTGCCAAGCTTGGGGCTCGGCCGTGCGCTGGCGCAGATGCAGCAGAGAGCTGCCTCACTCATCCCAGTTAAAAAAAAATAAAAAAAAAAGACAAAAATGAACAAAAAATGGTTCTTTTGGAGGGCGATGGCATGTGCACTCTAACCTTCTGCTTTCCTTTTCATGTCCTCTCTAATCCAGAAACCTGTACTAATTGCAGTTAGATTTATGAGCATAACCCGCAGTTCAATCCCGGTATGTATTAACTGCACGGTGCTCTGTGCCAGCCGCGTCCCTCCATTGTGTGTGACCGCCGCTCATTCCAGCCCCGTGCCACCGGCCATTGTCCGTGACGTTCCCGTCTTGTCCCCGTGCAGGCGCCTCTCTCGGACCAGCCGGTTCCCACCCAGGAGCAGGAGCGGTCGCATCTGCCGGGCTCCCCCGCGGGCTGCCCTCACTGCATGCAGCTCCGTGAAAAGCAGCTTTCGCCCTCACGTCTTGTTTTCCTTTAGTGTTTTTGTTTTCCCATTCTGTGCTTCTCTGACTTTCTCTTTCTTTGACTCTTCCACCCACGATTTCTGCTCGGGATGCATTTAGGCACCGTGCCGTGAAGCCATTGCGTTGGCTACGGTGGGTAAATCCTGCAGGCTGTGGGGATGGCGAGGCATCCACCAAAGGGCTCTCAGCTGCACCCTGATGGCTGGGACAGCCCAGGATGAATCTGGGGACCCAGCAGCTCCTGATGTCCCCACCCCTCCCTCACCTCTCTATCCCAGCATGAGCCACTGCAGCAATGTGCTCCTCAGTGAGACCGTGGTGGACATAGGATAGGCACAGACCACAAACGCTGCCCTAGGATAGGGGGAAGCTTGTGGAGCTATTTCTCTTTACACCACTTTCAGCCCATGATGCTTCTCCCCACCCTTCTGCATCCACAATTGTTTGGGGAAAAAGGAGACCTGGGTCTGAACCATGCCACCCTGGACACTGTTTTGCAAGCCCTCTGCTCGGGGGCTTTTGGAGCAAACACCAGGCTTAGCAGACGCATTAAATACACCAGAAAGTGGTGTTGCCCTCATCTCAGCCCAGACAAGCACTCGGTTGACGCAGGAAAGCCAGCGGCAGAGGCGCAAGCCCTTGTGCTGTGAGCAAACGCACATCCGAGCCGTCAGGAAATTTTCCACTCGCAGCAGCGGGGAGAGGAGAGGGCTTTGCTGAAAGCCCACGTGTACGTCGTCACCGCAGCATCCGCTCGCTGCTGACCACCCCGCAGGCAGGGAGAGCAGTACACGAGGTGCTGGGGATCTTTGGGAGCTCAGGGGTTTTTGCTAATAGGATTCAGGTGGCTGTGCCTCAGCTCAGGAGCCCACGTGATGAGGTTGCCATCAGAGCAACGTTGCTCTGGGGCGCAGAAGCTTCTTTGCGGCTGGAGAAAAGATCTCCCAGGTGCGACACTGGGAGATGAAAGGGTAAAATGGAGCAAATCTCATGTCTCAGCACCAAGCAGCAGCATTTGTATGGGGTGGAGAACTTAACAGGCACTGCAGGTGGAAGAAATGCTCAGCATTGCCTCCCACAAGAGCTGTGTCCCATTAACATCAGCATAGGGATGCTTTGCAGCTTGAAGAAAGATCTCTGCTCACATTTCTGATAGATTTTTTTGCTTTCAAGGAAAAAAAAAATGAGTCTCTTGTACCATGTTCTGGGCATGTGGATTGTGAGAAAGACCAAGAGGTGTCCCAGCTACAGTGCTTAGATATACTTAGAGAAGTGAAGATGGATAGCAATGAGCCTGCGAACAGGGCGGAGCACAGCAAGAACTAGAAGGGGGATCCGTATTCACCACCTAAGAAATAAAATGATTGTTTGAAGGACAAGGGCAGCTTTTGAGTGGAGTGGAGGCAAATGATGGGTTTTCTACCTTGCACTGGTGTCCTAAGACATGGTCAGCTCAGGATCCTGAATTCAGAAGATGAGTTGTGTTCAGTTACAGCTCAGTCATGATTAAAATCTTTCTAACCTGTGTGCCCCAGTAGCTACTACACAGCATCCTTCGTATCCAAAACCAGTATTTTTCTTTTACCTTGTGGAGCAGATCTGTGGAGCTGTTCCTCCAACGTTAAAGCAGAGGCCAGCTGCATGTGTATCCATCCATGATACCCCCGTTTGAGAACTTTTTCATAGTCAGAAGGTTTAATACTAGTAAAAATAAATGATTTCTCAGAGTTCTTCAGCACGGGGGCTGCTGGCATGGCTGCATTAAATCTCCCCTTAACTGCAGGTGCAAGTCAGTAGCTGTGGCACTGCTGCATTTGATCATCATTTTTGAATGATGTTTTCCCTGACCATTCATTTTTGCCGCTCTCCAGCTGTTCCTCACCCACTTTTCTCATGCAGCGCTTCCTCCCATTTCCCACCTGATTAGCAGACCCTCCTCCTCTTCAACCCGCCGTCCCGTTGCACCATTGTGTTGAGTCTCGTGATACCTCCCTGCCGGGGAGGGCGAGCCCCCCAAGAACAGGCAGTGTCTCCGTGTGCATGCCCGCATTTCCTTCCATCCAAAGCCAACGCTGTTGTTCGCTCCGCCCGGATTTGTAGAAGCAGCATGTGCTTGGCTTTTTTTGGGTCGTACGTAGCTGGTCAAGGTGCGTTGGCTTCATCTCCACCGTCCCCAGCGTGTTGAGTGCTCCTGGTACATCTCCCAGCTGGGTGTGAGATTTTGAAGCCTCTGGGGTGCAAGCAGAGGCTGGAGCCATCTCCTCTGCTCCTTGGGAGTGGAACACTCAGGGGAGAAAGCTGCTGTTGCCTGAGATGTCCTGCAGGCTTGCCAAATAATCCTGTCTGGTGGCTTGTTTGACACCGACGTTTATCTCCAGGGCAAAGGACGCATACGGCGCGGCACCTACCCCAGCCCGACTTCTCCCGTCGCCGTACGCCTGCCCTCGGTGTCGGATGTCCCTGAGGAGACCATGAGCAGCGAGGAGGCCATGGAGATGGACGTCACGGAGCAGCAGCAAGCAGCCATGCAGCAGGAGGAGAGGGTGCTGACCGAGCAGATCGAAAGCCTGCAGAAGGAGAAGTGAGTCTGGCCTGCAGTTCAAGCCACGTTCACTCCCACACCCGATGCCTATAGGTTCAGCTCAGGCATGACTTGAGCGTGGTTGCGTTCCAGGGTTGGTGTGCTGTTCCCGGGATGAGCTGGAGGACTTCTCCATGTCCCTCTTGTTTTCCTTCCCCCCTTTTTCAGTCCTGTTTGGTCACGGGGTTGGTTTTCACAGGGAGGAGCTGACGTTTGAGATGCTGACGCTGGAGCCCCGCGCTTCTGATGATGAAACGCTCGAATCCGAAGCCTCCATTGGCACTGCTGACAGCTCTGAAAACCTAAACTTTGACTCTGAAGGAGCCATCTCCGATCGTTCGGGTGAGTAAAAGCCTCCCTGGATTTTTTTTTAATTTTTTTTTTTGGTTAGGCCATTCCACAGCCAAGCTGCCTGCTGTGCATGTAGCAGTGCGGTTGGCGTTAGTGAGACGGGCGAGCCATAACAAGGTGCCTGTCAAAGGCCAGATCCAGGCCACTAACCCTCCCGTGGTCCCTGTTCCTCAGAGCGAAGCGTAGCACTTAGCTCCCTGCGTCCCACCAAGGCGGAGGGGCCCAGCCGGCTGCGAAGGCACCCCAGGACGCGGCCGGACGCGGCGGACACGGCGGACGCCTCCATCGTCTCCTCCTCCTCCTCCTCCCAGTCATCCACCTCCTGCTTACCCCACCTGCCCCGCAAGCGCTTCCAGATGTACTCCAAATCGCCCTTCTACCGAGCGGGGGGGCCGGGTGAGCCCCCCGAGCCCACCTCGGGGCCACCTGACGACCGCCCTCAGTTCACCACCCGCGGGACCTTCAACCCGGAGAAGGGCAAGCAGAAACTGAAGAGCGTGAAGAATTCCCCCCCGAAAACCAAAGAGCCGCCGGAGGGGGGCACGGGCCGCAAGAGAAACCCCGAGGCCGACCGGGCCGCCGGCCAGCAGCTCGTCCTCCTGGGGAGCAACGAGTTCATGGTGTGAGGTGTGAGCCCCCGGCCCTGTGGCGAAGCCTCGAGCATCCCCTGTTGTCACCATCATCATCGTCACCATCTTCCTCACCAATTGCTTGGGCGCCAGCGCCAGAGGAAGACGAGCGCTCAATCCAGAAGGCTGGTGGGGACGGATTCAGCAGTGGCCTTAACGGTGTGGGGTCGGGAGCGGCCGGGGCAGGCGGCCTGGGGACAGAGGGACAGAGGAGGGACAGAAGGACGTCGGTGGGGAAATGGAAAGCCCTGGGTCCCACCTCGGGAAGGGCGCGTTGCTCTTTGTCCGGGTGACAGCGCCGCAGCCGAACCCTTGTGCCGAGCTGCCCGTGGCTGGAGGTCCCATCATCAAGCGAGGAAGTAGGAATGCGTGGAAAGCAAAGCCCAAAAGCCCACAAAGGTGCCTGGGTCCGGCCGCGCTGCCGGCGGGAGTGGGCTCTGAGACCCCTGCGCTGTAATCGTGTCATTCAAGCAAAAGCCAAGTGCATGGAAAAGCGTTAAGGAAATCTGCCAAAAGTCATCTTTTTTTTGTTCGTTTGTTTTTCAATGTGACCTAACCACCCTCCTCTTGTTTTTTTTTTGTTTTGTTTTGTTTTTTTGAGACCATCAGTATTAAAAAAATGATAATAATAATCAAGGACTTACTTGAAGCTCTATCTGTTTATATTCTGGCTTACTGGAGTTTATTGTAAATATTTTTTTTTATTTTTTAACTATTTTTCCCCAGACAGGAGTTTTATTTTTCTGTGCCAGGGCAAGGGAAGCGATGGGCACAGTGGGGTCACCGCGGGCGTCCCGCTGTCCCACCCGTCACCTGGCGCCAGCGCGCACGTCACCGCGCACATCGTCTTTGGCGAGAAATCCACCGGGCTGTAATTAGCGTCACTTGGAAGCGGTGCCCGCGATCGCGCTAATTATCAGCGCTCGCTAACAACCGGGGGCTTAATCCCTCCCGCACCAGCTCGGTTGCAGCCCGGGTGCTCGGAGAAGCACCGCGGTCGCTGGAAGAGAGGAGAGATTAGGAGCCCGGGGACGCTAATTGGATTAATAAATGCTGGATCTGCCCTTTCGGATAGGCTGCTCGCTCTGTGCGTCTGCAGGCTGAGGCTCAGCTCCTTTCCCTAAACGCCAAGAAAAAGAGGGAAAATACCAATAATTGTGTCTTCCTGGGTATTTTGCATTAGTTTGACTGGGGCTGGGGATGCTCGGCTCCTTCCAGTCTTGCTCCTGCCCTCAGCGCTCGCGGCATCGGCTCGGTCCTGCAGTGCAGCCCCCTCTTCCCAGCCCAAGTGCCAGTTATTTCAAGGGATGTTTTATTTATTTATTTCATTCCTTTTCTTCTTCCTTTTTTTTTTTTTTAATTATTATTATTTCGGAAAGGGGAAATGATTTAAGTTGCATGGGGGAAGAAAGCGTTGTCCCTGCTCTGCCTCCCTGCTTGGGATTGGGAGGAATGAAACCCCCGTCGCTGGGCGAAACGGGCCGGGGCCGTGCTAGGACCAGAGCGGGGCACAGCGTGGCAGGGGCACGGCGATGCTCACAGGGCAGGAATTTACTGGGGAAAAGCCTGGAAACGGCACGAGCACCCAGCAAGAGCCTGGTGCAGTCAGCGTTGGGTCCCCAGAAATCATGGAAAATTGGGTGTTTGAGCCGCTTCCCACCCGGCATGGATCCAGCGCCCAGCTGCTCCCCCTCAAGGGTAAATTGCCGTTTTTGGGGGGGCAAAAGGTTAGGTTTTGAAGACGATCCGCTCCTCGTACCAAGTGAATGTACTTACTACTGGAAAGGACATGGGCTGCGTGTTGTTAATTATTATTTTTAACGGAAATTTTTTTAAGTAATTTATAAGTATGCTGAGTGTAAATTAAAAAGGAAAAAAAAAAACAAAGTATGTATTGTAAGAGGATATATTATCCTGTGTCATACTCTCTATAAATTTTACCTGTTAAAAAAAAAGAAAAAGAAAAAAAAAAGAAATAAAAGCGTAATTATATAAAGGAGAATGATTTATCTCTCCCCTGGCAGCGGGGAGGGGGGCAGCTGGCAAGCTGTCATGTCGCGTCCGCGGGTTCTCTTTAATTTCTTAATTAATGTTGTTCCCTTCCCTCCTGCAATAAGGCCGTCGTTCTGTATAAAGTGCAATTTTTGTGTAATATTTCTCCGACGTATACCGTGTGGCTGTACAAAGCGGCTTGGTGGCCGAGTGAACCCCTCGCTTATTAAAGAGCTGTAACGAGGAGCGCCTGGCGCTGGGTGATGTCTTTGGTGCAGGGGGGATGCTCGGGGGGGCTGGCGCCGTGGGAAGTGCCCCAAAAAGGTGACATTTTCTCCCGTTTCCATGTCTTTGGGTGGGTTTTGCTTCTTGGCTTTCCATTTGGTGCTGGAAATCTGTTTTTTCTGGTGTTTTTTCCAGCCCAGTGTTCCCTGTGTCCCCAGTGCCAGACCCCAAACAAAGGCCAGGAGGAGGCTGGCTGCAAAAGCCCTCTTTATTCTGAGTACAAAATGGGGGGCAGGCTGCGAGCCCCCCAGGGTGGGGAGCCGGTCCGTGAGGCGCATCCCATGGACCTGGCCACCACCTCGGGCACGTTCAGGCCAGGACGAGGAGCCCCAGGGGGTGACAAGGGGACAACAAACAGCCCAGGGTGCGATGGGGGGGTCCCGAAAGCCAACGAGCGATGGCCGGGTGGTGGCGGGGGGGGGCTCAGTTCTTGAACATGTCGCAGAGCAGCTTCTCCATGGGGGTGTTGCCGATGGTGCGGCGGAAGAAGAGCAGCTCCACGCGCTCGGAGGAGAGGAAGCGCAGCGCCGGCAGGAGCAGCAGCAGCTTCCCAAACCTGGGGGACAGAGGGGGTGGTGGTGGGTGGTGTCACCACCCCCAGTGTCCCCGGCACCCACTGGGGATGGGGACGGCCGTACCTGACGGGCTGCCCCGGGTAGTGGGAGCGGTTGTGCTGGCCTAGCATCACCTGTGACTGGTCCTGCAGGTTCTCTACCTGCTCGGGGTCCTTCAGGCCGCGGGTCTCTGTGAGGACAGCAAGTGTTGGGGTAGGGGGACGTGGGGACAGGCCGTGGGGGACCCAGGCGTGTCCCCTCACCTGGCTTGAAGAGCACCACGGCCTTCATGCAGGCGAATTCGGTGGGGTCGACCGCCAGTGCCTTGAAGCGCCCGAGGGTCTCCTGCAGTGCCCGGACGTCCATGGTGGCCGGCAGCAGCTTGCCAGGGGACGGCTCGGGGACAGCCAGCAGCGGGCAACTCTCCAGGGGCATGGACCACTGGATGGCGCAGAGCAGGAACAGCTCGCTCCATGCTTCCTCCAGCAGGATCACCTTGGGGGCGACCAAAACCCCATCAACCCCCTTGGAGCACCCACGGGTGGGCAGAGGAACATCTCCCATGACCAGGAAGGGAGCTCAGGGAGGCTCCAACCATCCCGCTGTCACCTTTCATGTACTGGGGTGGTCCCCACCTGGTCGCGGAAGGGCAGGTTGGAGAAGACGGGCAGGTTCTTGGCCCACTTGACAGCCATGAAGAGGAGGCGCGCCGAGGTCTCGTAGACATTTTCGGGACCAGCCGCCGGGTACGGTGCCACCTGGTACTCGCTGCCTGCCCGCTCGGGCTCGCTGCCCGTCACATCCACCGTCTCATCGGCTGTGGGGACGGTGACATGGTGTCACCCTGCCATGGGGACTCAACCCCAGAGTCCCCCCGAACACCGACAGCCACCCACCGTCCTCAGGCTCCAGCTTGGCGCAGGTCTCGGCCGTCATCAGGCTGGCCATGAAGCGGTGGTTGGTGGGCGGCGTGGGCGCACGGGGGACGGTGGTGGTGGCAGCGGTGGCCCCGGGGCCACGCGGGGCTGGGCAGGGGACCGAGGGGACCTCGCGTGTGGCGGCCACGTGCTCGGGGGGCAGCTCAGCAGTCCAGCTCGATGCTATCCAGCCGGACCTGGGCCGTGCTGCGGGGCTGACGCTCGTTCTGCACGGCTGCGGGGACACGGTGGCATCAACAGCGGCCACCCCCCATGGTCACCTCCCTCCCCATCATGTCCCCCCACGCTCACCGTCCTTGTTCATGCCGGCTTGCAGGCACTTCTTGAGCCGGCAGGCCTGGCACTGGTTGCGGTGCGCCTTGTCCACCGGGCACAGCCCTGTCCCCTGCCTGGCACCTGCGAGGAGAGGTGGCACCCGGCTGTGCCCGCAGGGGTGGCCCTGTCCCCCCCAGGGGTGTCCCCATGCTGGGAGCACTTTGTCCCTGCTGGGTGTCTTGTCCCCTGGGGGGTGGCCTCTACCCAGCGAACATCCTTGTCCCCGTGGGTGTCCTGTCCCCTATGGGTGCCCTATCCCTGAGAAAACCCTCCCTTGCTGGGTGTCCTACCCCAATGAATGCCATGTCCCCATCTGTACCCCCAGTTTCTGTCTGTCCCCATGGGCCCCTGCCTGCTGGCTGTCCCCCGGTCCCCGTCCCCCCGCTGCCCACCTGTAGATGAGCTTCCTGCGGACGCTGCGCTTGAAGAAGCCGCTGCAGCCGTTGCAGGCGTAGATGCCGTAGTGCTTCCCGCTGCTGGTGTCCCCGCACACCTTGCACAGCAGCACGGGGCTCAGCGCCTTGCCGGGGGCCGGGCTCAGCCCTGCGGGAGCAGAGCCACAATGCTTGGGGTGATCAGGGGCACCCCCGTGTCCCTTGTCCCACCTCACCTCTCCCCACTGTCCCCAGCACCCAGGTGATGGGGTCACTCCCACCTCCACGGGTCCAGCCCGGGGGACCTCAGATGTCCCAGAGGACAGGAACGGGGACTCCACAGGGCTCAGCATCTTCCCATGTCCCCGGGATGCCCCGCAATGAGTTCTCACAGGACTTTTAAATGGGGAAGGAAAAGGTGTCCCTAGGGCTGGGGACACTGGGTGACCTAGTGCTCGGGGACCACAGGCATTGCAGAGAAGGAGCACAGCAGGGGGATGCAGGAACCCTGATGGGGAGCAGGGACCATCCAGAAGAAGGACAGGAGACCCTGGACATCATGGATAAGGACCACCACTGAGGATCCTAAGCATCCTGGACAAGGACCACCATGGGGAACCCCAAGCATCCCAGAGAAGGACCACGGTGGAAGACCCCGAGCATCCCGAAGAAGGACGGCGGCGGCACACCCCGTGCAGCGGGGCGCTGGCTCTTACCCGAGGGGCTGTCCTCCAGCCCGGCGCTCACCACCGACCCCGCCGGCGACGCAGCCATGCCGGGATGTCCCCGTCCCTGTCCCCGCCGCGGGGCTGCTCCCACCTCCCGGCAGCTCTGCGGGCTGGGGGCCGTGGCCGTGCTCTCTTCAAGGCAGATTAGCGCCGGGCGCTGTGTAAGCAGCCGCCTGTTTGTCACCGTCTTAATCTTTAGTGTCTGCGCGGGGGGGGCGATCAATCAGCCACGCGATGAAGAATTAAAAAGGTGCTGAGCCCCAGCCCGGCCGCCTCCCTGTAACCCTAAACCCTGCGACACCAAAGCCACCCGTGGAGGGACATGGGGTGAGGAGGGGGGGGTGCACTGCGATGCAGCCGCCCCCAAAAGTGGAGGGCTGAGATTGCAGGAGGGAGGTTGGGGTCGGGGGGAGGCTGGGGTGTCCTGGCCCCCCAATCCGTGCTGCGCCCACCAGGCCCTGTAAGCGCATAAGCCCCTTGCTAAGGAGTTTAGAGGGGAATAACAAAAAAAAAAAGGTAATTACGGAGTGGAGGGGGTGACACTCCCCCCTTCCCTGCTCCCAAGCAATTAATTACAAGCTCGAGAGAGATGATTGAAGCCCCCACACAGCCCAAGCAGCTTAGTGCTGGTGCATGGGGCTGTGCCCCCATTGAATGTCCCCATTCCCCCCCCCCAAGGCCAGCAGCCTTGGTGTCCCTCCTGGGGGGGCTCCTGGGGCTTTGGGCTGTGGCTGCTGACGTGGCAGTGCGGGGCCAGGTGGCCCCAGGGTTACGCAACGGCCGCTAAACCCTCGCCGTGAAAGGGCAGCACAATTTGGGATTTGAGGGCTTTAGGTGCTAAACCCCCCCCCCCGCGGCCACCGGGGACAGGATGGGGGGGTGGTGGTGGGGGGGGGACTGGGACAGGGATAGGATGGGATGGGGATGGGGAGGGATGGGACGGGGTGGAATAGAATGGGATGGGGTGGGATTGGAATGGGTTGGGATGAGGATTGAATGGGAATGGGGATGGGATGGGTTTGGGATGGGGAGGGGATGAGCTGGTATAGGATAGGATGAGGATTGAACAGGAATGTGGATGGGATAAGATGGGATGGGGATGAGGAGGGAATGGGACGGGATGGGATGGGATGGGATGGGATGGGATGGGATGGGATGGGGATGGGATGGGGATGGGGTTGGATGTGGTGCTTAGGGACATATTCTACTGGGTAATATTGATGGTAGGGGGATGTTTGGACCAGATGATCTTGAAGGCTCTTTTCCAACCTTAGTGATTCTATGGGATGGGGAGGGACTGCATAAAGGGGCACCCCCATGGCAGTGGGACATGTCAGTTTTTGGCCCCATGGGGATGGCGATAGGCGCTGACTCGGCTAATTTGTCGCCCCGCCGCGCTCTGCTCTGTGCCGCCGGTAAAAAGCCAGCTCCGGAGCTGGGATTTGGGAGGGGGATTAGCCCCGGCAGCCATCTGCTGCCGGCCAATAATCATCATGCCGAGGAAATCCAATAATTACAAAAATATTGCTCCCATCCCCATTTTGCCCTTGCACCCGGCTGTGGGACCCCCACCCATGGGTCCCCACTGCGGTGTCCCCATCAGCACCCCGATGGGGCAACGAGGTCAATCGGGGACCTGCCGGTGCCTGGTGCCACCACCAAGGGGCTGCCAGTGGCCCCAGTGCTGGGGTCCCCAGTGAAGGAGCAAATGTTAAAGCCCGTGACCCAGCTCCGTGACAGATGCCGCGGGATTACCCAGCCTAAAACCTTGGGATCGCCCCCCTCCCTTCTCCCCAGCATTTAATTACTAATTTACTAATTACCCCAAGATGCTGCTGGCGGTCTTGAGACCCGTGCCCTAATCCCAGCAGCCGTGGGGAGCACATGGATGTTCTCCGGTCAGGGGATGGCTCAGCTGGGGACATCGGAAGCCCTGCTCCTGGTGGTGATGGTGGGGATCTGAAGAGGGTGGTGGGGACCCAGGGGACAAGGTGGGGACCAGGAGTGTGTGATGGGGACCAGAAGGGGTTGATGGTGGAGACCAGAAGGAGACTATGAGGACTGGAGGGGAGTGACGGGAACAAGGAGGAGGTGACAGGGACCAGGAGGAGGTGATGGGACCAGAAGGGGATGATGGAGCCTGGGAGCTGGTGGTAGGGACCAGGAGGGGACAACAAGGCTCAGGCAGGGGTGATGGTGACCAGAAGGGCCTGATCGAGACCTCAGAGAGATGGTGGAGCACAGCTGGGGACAGAGGGGACCAGAAGGAGATGGTGGGGACCAGGAGGTGATAACAGAGCCCAAGAGGAGACAACAAGGATCGGGGGACAGGTGATGATGACCAGAAAGGCCTGACTGGCTCTGGGAGGGGATGAGGGGATCAGAAGGGGACAATGGAGACCTGGAGGATTTGATAGTGACCAGAAGATGATGATGGAGCATGGGAGAGGATGGTGGGGACCAGGAGGTGACAGCAGGGACCGGGGGGGACAATGGGAACCGGGAGGGGATGACAAAGATCAGGAGGAGGCAGTGAGGTGCAGGTGGGGATGGTGGGGACCAAGAGCTGGGGATCAGGAGGGGACAAAAGAAACCAAAAGAAGACACGAAGTTCTGGAAGGGGACAAGAGGGACTCTGCTGGCCCCACACAGCCCCTGGTGGCACCAGTGGTAGCTGTGATGGGTTAACGCAGCCACCGGCGCTCAGCCGTGTCGAGGCCAGGCTCCGGTTTCACCCGTCCTTAGCTCTCCTTTACCGGAGGCTCCTTTTCCCTTTGTGCCCCTGCTGTGACAAATGACGGCAGGTGGCAGCGGGCGGTGACAGCTCCCAGATCACCCGTGCTGATCCTTGCCAAAACCCTTGCTGACCCCAAAATAAAACTTTAATGTGGCTCCGGGGCTGACCTGGCCATGAAACCTGGCCCCAGGGGCAAGCGTCTCCCTGGGGACATTCTGGTGGCCATAGGGGGGTGGCAGCACCACCCCGGTGGCCATGGGCTCAGGTCCATCATCAAAGGCGTCTTGTGAAAACCTCACGGTCACCCAAGGAGTTTGCTGAGGAAATGTCTCACCAGGTGGGGACCGTCCCCCTGGGAGGGCCCCGTGTCACTGGGATGGGGCGGGCTCGGTGGCAGTGGTGGGGCCGGTTGGGACAGTCTGGGCACATTCCTGGGCACGGGCACTGCCAGCAAGTTGGGGTCCTGAAGCTTGGGGACTGCAGCAGAACCAGGGGACATCGGAGGAGACCCCAAGGTAAGGGGGGCGCAGGTGAAGCCACGTCCCCAGTGATGGCACGGTGCCCGAGGCCAGGGCTCGGTGCTCAGTGACGTGGCACCACCGAGGGCCTGGGGACACCGCGGTCCCCAAGCTGGGGCTGGCATGTCACCGTGGCCCCCACCATGTCTGTCCTTGCAGATGAACCTCCTGGCACAGGTAGCTGGGGAGCCACCAAGGAGGCCACCGCACCCTGTCCCCATGGTGTCACCCTGGGGTCCTGACAGCCTGCACCGTCTGTGCTGAGTTTGGGGGCAAGGGGACGTGGGTGCATGGGGAGGGTGCTGAGGGTGAGCTGGGTGCCACCCATCTGGTGACACCAGGGTGGCTCTGGTCCTGCTCTCTCCCCCCAGGTGAGCTCCATGCTGCAGACCCTGCAGGACAAGGTCCCCCCGTTCCTCCAGCCCTGGCACTGGCTGAGCTCCTGGGTGCGGCAGGTTTGGGTGGCACCGTTCAGGTGGGGGGGTGACATCAAGGGACGTACCTTGGTGACGCTGCCCCAAATTTGTCCGGGTCTGGGGCAGGTTGGGTCCCAGTGCCACCGGGGTGACCGTGAGTATTTGTCCTTCCAGGTGAGCAGCTCCAAGCAGGTAAGTGCCAGCATCCCCTCCATGTCCCACACCACCCCTCCCATCACATAACAGGGCAAACCTGGCTTTTACTCAGCACCCACAGGTGCTCTGGACCTAGTCCACTTGTACTAGCTGCAGATGACTTCCAAAGCCCCTTTCCTGGTCCATGGAGACCCAAAACCACTGTGGGATGGGGACAAGCCAGTGGGTCAGTGCTGCACCCACAGCACCAGGCTGGAGGTGACACATGGTGGTGTCCCCAGGCAGTGGCAGGAGTTGCGAGCACGGCGGCATTCTTCCTCTGTGAGGGGCTGCTCGGTCAACACTTTGATGTTGTGCCCAACGGGGTGGCAGAGCCTCAGCCTGGGGACCTCTTCCTCTTCCCACTGGCCTCAGGTGGCCCTGGTTGGTGGGGTGCCCATGCTGGTGTCTATTGTGGCAATGGGGAGATCATCCACCTGGAAGGTGAGTGGCGGGGGGAGCATCCCTGCACAAGGGACATGGGGCATAGCATCTCCTCCTTGGTGACACCAACCCTCCTCTGGGACCTCAACCCTATTTAGTGACCTCAACCTTCCTTAGGGACCCAACCCTCCTGGTGTCTCCAGTCCTCCTTGGGGATCCTAACCCCACCTGGGGACCCTAATGCTCTCGATGTCTTCAACCCTCTTTGACAACCCCAACCCTCCCTGTTGACAACAGCCCTCCTGGGGACCCAACCCTCCTTGGGCACCTCAACCTTATTTGGAGCCCAAACCCTCCTGGTGACCTCAATCCACTTCACCACTTCAATGACCCCAACCCTCCTTGGGCATCTCAACCCTTTTTGATGACCCCAAACCTCCTTGGGGACATCAACCCTGTTTGGGGACCCAACCTCTTTGGGGGACATCACCTCCACCCCACAGGCACCTCAGGAACGTCCCCAACAGGGATCGTGGCCAAGCACAGTAAGAGCCACCTCCTGCGGACACGGGGCCCTGCCAAGGTGCTGCGGATGAAGCAGGGGCTGGATGCAGCCACCCTGCAGCAGCGGGCCCAGGCAGCCATGGACATGGTGCTGGAGTACGATGCTGTCACCTGCAACTGTGTCCACTTCGCTCTTGCCCTGCTGGGGCTGGGCCAGCTTGCTGGGGACATGGTGGGTGCCATTATCCCCAAGCCTAGGGGACCGCAATACCCACCCCGGCTGAGTGCCACTGGAGCTGTCTTCTCTCCTAGATGTCCCCAGAGCTACAGTGAAGAAGGTGGTGATGCGACCTGGGAAGCACGCAGGGCTGGAGCATCCTTCCTGGGCCACCGGCGGGATGTGGGATAAAGGCTGGAGGGTGTGGGGTATGGGATGTGGGGTGTGGATGTGGGGTGCAGGATGGGTGCAGGGTGTGGATGTGGGTGCTGGCATGTGCCCACAGCTTTTCAATAAAAGGTTGCATGTGAAACCCTGCACCACTGCAGCATGAGGACACCACAGCAACTTGTCTGTTACGGGGACAAATGCTGGCTTTAAGCCCCTCGGCCACCACCTGCCCCAGCGGGAGATGCCCAGCACCAGCATTGGGCTTTTCCACTTTTGCTTTCCTTTCTCAGAAGCCCAACACCACCCCCCCTTCCTGCCTTCCAAGAAAAAAGTGGCTGCTTCCTGGTGTCCCCTGCACATAAACTCACCTTTGTCCCTCAGGTCACTGCCTCCTGCCTGGAGGAGAGAGGGCAGAGGAGCCCTGTTGGCATGGGTTGTTCCCAATCCCCCCAGCTCCTTGTGCACCCCCCGCCACCTCACTCAGAGCAGCAGAAGCAGAAAAGTCTTCGGCTCTGTGTGAACCTCTCTGCAGCAACTGAAATACCAGTGTGTTTCTACCAGTATTTTCATCAAAAATCCCAAACACAGCATCACACCGGCCTCTACAAAGAAAATTAATTGTCTCCCAGCTGAAACCATGACAATATCCACCCTTTATTCCGTGTCACTTACACCATGCTCAGGTCCCACGCTTTCTAAGACATTCGCATTAGCCACCACCCTTTGATTAATACACAAAGATAATTGCCTTAGTCTATGGACACCTGCCAAATGTCCATAAAATGTCTGTTGAGTTCTTTTAGTCCATGATTAGCTTCTATCTGTTATGACAGTCACTCGGGGCAGGAGGGGCAGTGTGTTGCATGGAGCTATTGGATGCCAACGCCATCTCAGGTCAGGTCACTGCTGTTCTTGCACTACTTCTTGCGAGGCCCATCCACCTCAGCCCTATAGTGCTGATACAGGAATTCCTATAATATGCAACTCAGATCATGGGTTACAACAATTTAAAGGCATTTCCATTGCAGTCCTCACCCCTTGCTCTTTTGGACCAGGCCGTAGGGTTGCAATTAACCCCAACCCTTGTCCCTGCTCCAGCCTGGGATTTTCCTTTGGCCACAGTCCCTTAGGGGTGTACCTGTTCTGGCGTGGCCTTATCTATGTGCCACAGTCCCTTAGAGGTCTACTTGCTGTGTCATGGACTAATCCATGGCTGCAGATGCTTCAAGGTCTACCTGTCCTTGTGTGGATTTTTTTGCGTGGTCACAGGCACTTCAGGGTATGCGTGCTGCCATGTGGACTCATCCACAGGTGACAGTCCCACTGGCTTGAGCTCAGTCTGAGCCCCAGGATGTCCAGCCAAAACCACAGCAGCTGCTTCAGGTCTCTGTGGGCTTTCTTCTGGGGACTTGGTCAGCTCCCACACCTGTGGGAGAGCTCCTGGGCTGCTTCATGCCCATGAAAGGGTTCCCGAGGGAGGAGGAAATTTCCATGTGGCTTGGGAAGGAGGAATCAGCAGAAAGGAGCAGCCCTGTGGCACCTCAGGGTGGGAGGTGACAACAGCCTTTGGCCCATCTGTTTCCATGTTAGGAGCTGCAGGTACCAAAGGGCATCAGGACAGGGGCAGGATCGATCAGGTGTGCTGAAAACCAGCCCTGCAAACAGTGCTTGCAAGGGTAAAGTGCAGGTTGGGGACCATCCCTGAGCACACAGAGAACCACAGCAGGACAGCCTGGTGCAGGGTAGCCCCTCAACATGGGCCTGAGCATGTCGTACAGTGCCGTGAGTAGAATGATTTGGGATTTCTCGCCTTTCCTCCTAGTGCTTCTGCAGGGGATGTGCTGTCCTGGGGCAGGGTACACAACAAGACCTGCACTGGCAGTGTTTTGGGGCAATGGGGACCACTTCTGCCCCATGTTGAAGCTGCATCTTCCCTTTCTCTCCTAAGCATTCTTCCAGTAGAGCGAGTGAGGCAACCGTGTTCCTGTTCGAGGTGCTTATGCCTTGGTTCACAAATTTTGAAGAGCTGTCGGTGGAGAGCAAACGGCAGCCTGGGGATGTCCTGCTCTTCCCCTTACAGAACGAACCTCCATTTTGCCCAGAATCCTTCAAGCATGCTGCCGTCTACTGTGGGGATGAGGAGATCATCCACTTCCAGTGTGAGCTCATGCTCCCCATCTTCTATTCAGGTCACGGCAGTGGCCAGTGAAGGCACGTGGTAATGGCCAGCTCTTTCCTTTCCAGACACAGGCAATTGTCCAAATGAAGGACAAATCAGCAAGGAAGGCCTCCATGCTATGTTAAAGAGGAGGGGGAAATGCCAGATTTACAGGAAAAAGGGTGGGGTTGACCTTGATGCTTTCCAGAAAAAAGTCCGGGAGGTGATGAACAGCACAGCCCAGTACAGTCTCACGGGAAACAACTGCGTCCACTTCGCACTCTACCTGCTGGACTTGTCCGATTTCTACTTAGAGGCAGTGAGTATGGAGACAGGGCAGCGCATGTGCAGTGGGCCAAACGAGTCCCCAGACAAACAGACTTCTTTTTCCTGCAGGTTAAAATCAAGGAGAATGACAGCCATGGCATTGTAGTGAGTATTTGCATGAGTGTCACTGCTCCCTCCAGGGCTGGGTCTCCAAGGAGGGCTGAGGTCCCCAAGGAGGGATGCGGTTCGTAAGGAGGGCTAGGGTCCCCAGGGAGATTTGGGTTCCCCAAGAGACTCCTGGTCCATAGGAACGTCACAGAATCATAGAATATCCCAGGTTGGAAGTGACCCACAAGGACCACTGAGTCTAACTCCTGGCTCCACACTATCTAAAAGTGAAACTTTTTTAGTACTATCTAAAAGTGAAACTGCATTTCTAAATGCTTCCTGATCTCTGGCAGGTTCCGTGCAGTGGCGCTGGGAGATCCTTTTCCATGTTCTGACCACCCTCTCTGTGAAGAACCTTTTCCTGACACCCAGCCTGACCGTCCCCATCCCAGCTCCATGCCGTTCCCTCGGGTCCTGTCGCTGTCCCCAGAGAGCAGAGCTCAGCACCTGCCCCCCTGCTCCCTTTGTGAGGGAGCTGCAGGCCGCCATGAGGCCTCCCCTCAGCCTGCTCTGCTCATGGCCCTCAGCCACTCCTCACGCAGCTTGCCCCCAGACCCTCACCATCTTTGCTGCTCTTCTTTGGACACCTTCTAATGGTTTTATGTCCTCCTTATATTGCCTGGGTCCCCAGGAGGGTGGGCCCCCAAGGAGTTACTGGGGTCTCCAAGGAGGGTGGTGGTCACCAGGCCGCTCGTTTTCGGTGTAAGGGGGCGGCCAGCAGCCCGTTCCCCTCCATGTCCAGGGCAGCCATGTCCCTTTGTCCCCACGCTTTGCCTTTCCACGCATCTGCTTCCTGCAAATCATGACTTTTCGGGGGTGTCCTTTCTATTTTGTTTTGCGCTGGATCATTTCAAAGACACCACTCAGCACCCTCTGTGGGGGAAAGAAACATTAATCAGCTGCTTTATTAATTATTTCCACCTAGTCTGCTCATATTTGCTGCTTCATATCCTGAGTGATTGGGTGAAGTAACTGCCCAGATGAAAGTCGCTATTTCTGTCTTAATGAAAATATGAAATAAAAAATGTTAAAATGTGGAAAAAGAATAGAATTTCTGAATTGTCTTCAAAAAATGATGATATCCTGAATGCTCTGAAAACACTGATTATTTGTTAATAGCAATGAGGCTTATCTCTGAATAGTGTTACTTATCTGTAAATAATAAAAATAACAATGGTAGTAATAATAATAGTAGTAATAAATGATGATAATAGTAGACAATGATGATGATAATAGTAAATAATAATAGTAAGTGATAACAATAATAGTAAGTGATAATAATAATAGTGATAGTGATGATGATGAAAATCACAGCAATGATAATAATAATATTCTGAATAATAATAAAAATATTATTCAGATCATGGGTTACAACAATTTAAACCCTCTTTGATAACCCCAACACTCCTTGGGGACCTAACCCTCTTGGTGTCCCCAACCCTCTTTGATGACCCCAACCCTCCTTGGGCATCTCAACCCTCTTTGATGACTCCAGACTTCCTTGGGGACATCAACGCTGTTTGGGGACCCAACCTCCCGGTGACCCCAACTCTTCTCGGTGACTCCAACCTTCTTGGGGGACATCACCTCCACCCCACAGGCACCTCAGGAACGTCCCCAACAGGGATCGTGGCCAAGCACAGTAAGAGCCACCTCCTGCGGACATGGGGCCCTGCCAAGGTGCTGCGGATGAAGCAGGGGCTGGATGCGGCCACCCTGCAGCAGCGGGCCCAGGCAGCCATGGACATGGTGCTGGAGTACGATGCTGTCACCTGCAACTGTGTCCACTTCGCTCTTGCCCTGCTGGGGCTGGGCCAGCTCTCTGGGGACATGGTGGGTGCCATTATCCCCAAGCGTAGGGGACCGCAATACCCACCCCGGCTGAGTGCCACTGGAGCTGTCTTCTCTCCTAGATGTCCCCAGAGCTACAGTGAAGAAGGTGGTGATGCGACCTGGGAAGCACGCAGGGCTGGAGCATCCTTCCTGGGCCACTGGCGGGATGTGGGATAAAGGCTGGAGGGTGTGGGGTATGGGATGCGAGGTGTGGATGTGGGGTGCAGGATGGGCGCAGGGTGTGGATGTGGGTGCTGACATGTGCCCACAGCTTTTCAATAAAAGGTTGTTTGTGAAACCCTGCACCACTGCAGCATGAGGACACCATGGTAACTTGTCCGTTACGGGGACAAACGCTGGCTTTAAGCCCCTCGGCTACCGCCTGCCCCAGCGGGAGATGCCCAGCACCAGCATTGGGCTTTTCCACTTTTGCTTTCCCCCGGCAAATACCAGTGTGTTTCTACCACTATTTTCATCAAAAATCCCAAACACAGCATCACACCAGCCTCTACAAAGAAAATTAACTGTCTCCCAGCTGAAACCATGATAATATCTACCCTTTATTCCGTACCACTTACACCATGCTCAGGTCCCATGCTTTCTAAGACATTCGCATTAGCCACCACCCTTTGATTAATACACAAAGATAATTGCCTTAGTCTATGGACACCTGCCAAATGTCCATAACATGTCTGTTGAGTTCTTTTAGTCCATGATTAGCTTCTATCTGTTATGACAGTCACTCGGGGCAGGAGGGGCAGTGTGTTGCATGGAGCTATTGGATGCCAACGCCATCTCAGGTCAGGTCACTGCTGTTCTTGCACTACTTCTTGTGAGGCCCATCCACCTCAGTCCTATAGTGCTGATACAGGAATTCCTATAATATGCAACTCAGATCAAGGCTTACAACAATTTAAAGGCATTTCCATTGCAGTCCTCACCCCTTGCTCTTTTGGACCAGGCCGTAGGGTTGCAATTAACCCCAACCCTTGTCCCTGCTCCAGCCTGGGATTTTCCTTTGGCCACAATCCCTTAGAGGTCTACTTGCTGTGTCATGGATTAATCCATGGCTGCAGATGCTTCAAGGTCTACCTGTCCTCGTGTGGATTTTTTTGTGTGGTCACAGGCACTTCAGGGTATGTGTGCTGCCATGTGGACTCATCCACAGGTGACAGTTGTACTGGGTCTGGCTGGAATGTTAACTTTCCCGGCAGCAGCCCATATAGTGCCGTACTCTGCATTTGTAGCTGGAACAGCAGTGTTATCACACCAGGGTTGTGTCTACTGCTGAGCAGCAGTGGCACAGCATCGGGCCTCTCTCTAACCCTCCTAGGGGGTGGGCAAAAAGTGAGGAGAGAAACATCACTAGGGCAG